TTTTCGTACAAGCATCCACTATTTAAAAACTATCCAAAAAATATCCAAAAACTATCCAAAAACGAATGTGGTGTAACGGTTGTTTCTGAATAATTTTTCAACTTTTTTATTTTTTTTAGAATAAAGATATTGCAAAGTTTAACAAAAATACAATTTAACATGAAACAGTTTTGAGATCGAATAAAAAATTGCTTTGGAAAAAAATTATTTGTAATTTTCTCTTAGATTTAAGTTCCTGCAGTCAGCTGGTATATTCAAGTAGATGTTTATTTCCTTCACGTTGGTCACAAGGTTCTCAGATACTATAGTTCCTAAAGTACATGATATATAGTACACAATACACAACAAGGTTCTCAGATACTATAGTTCCTAAAGTACATGATATACAGTACACAGTACACAACAAGGTTCTCAGATACTATAGTTCCTAAAGTACAGGATATACAGTACATAGTACACAACAAGGTTCTCAGATACTATAGTTCCTAAAGTACAGGATATACAGTACACAGTACTCGACAATATCCTCAGATACTTTAGTTCCTAAAGTACAATATATAAGAGTACACACTACACAGTACGCAACAAGATCCTCAGATACTATAGTTCCTAAAGTACAGGATATATAGTACACAGTACACAACAAGGTCCTCAGATACTATAGTTCCTAAAGTACAGGAATATACAGTACACAGTACACAACAAGATCTTCTGATACTTAAAGTTCCTGAAGTAAGGATATTTAGCACACAGTACACAGTAATAGTACAAAGTAAACAGTATGTAGAATATGGGGAAAGAATGGTGATAAACATGATAAAATTAAAAGAGACGCAGTTCAATCGATAATTTATCACAAAATAGCATGGAGTACATTGTAAAAACCTTTATCTTTATGCGAATTGGACTGTTTTGTTTGTTATTTGTATCGAATAAACTTCAAAACGGCTGAACCGATCGGACCCAAAGTTGTTGTGGCAACTCAAATGACCCCAAGAAAGACTTAGGTGCGGTAACCACCAAAAAAATTATCTGAAAAAAATTTCTCGGAAATAAAATCATAAATGGGACTAAAAAAAGTCCTGTGGAAAAAAATTCCTTGAAATAAAAAGTCTCTAGAAATAAAGTCCTACCATTTTGAAACTTTATTTTATAGGATTTTTTCTGGTTCCAGTATGATTCTATACAAAAACGTCCCGGAAAAAAATCCTATTACAGTAGAAAATGCATGGGAACAAAGGATATTTACAACCATGCATTGACGACATTAAAAACACCCATGGCTATATTCAAAATACAGATGCATAGAAAAAAAGTATTTTTTATGAAAAAGTCTTAGACTTGACATCATTTTCACAAGATTTAGGACTTTTTTGCTTGGCATTTTTTCTTCGGATATATTTTCTTCAGGACTTTTTATCCTGTGATCTTATTTTCTGAGACTTTATTGGCAGCCCCCATACTATTTTAGGAAAAAGTCCCAGGAATTAAAAACTCAGAACTACATTTCCAATAACATTTTGTCCTAGGACTTCAGAAAATTGGGGCTTTTTTACCAAAGTTTTTATTTATTTAGTTTTTATTTATTTTTTTATTTACTTTTAGAAATCCATGATCTCAAAGTAAATTTAAATCGATATTATTTTTAACTCTACAATTTGGAAAAGAAAATTACTTCTAAAACTGTTCCTAAAAAAGGAGCACAACTTTACAAATTACTAAAACTTACAACAATACTAGGGTTATACATACATAAATCAAAATTTTTTTTTTTGCCACAATTGTACCTGCTCTTTCCTGTCGTTGGTTCTGTGGAGGAGCTGCCAGCAGACAAGGAAAACAGATACAAAGTAGAAAATAGCTTGTAAAATAAATTCAACATTTTCTCTTTTATGCAGAATTAAATAATGTTTCTTTAAAGATAAATATCTTAGAACTGAATTAGTTATCACTAGAATAAAAAAATGTAATGCATACAAAATAGAAAAAACTATCTGCTGAATTTTGACCTAAACATGTCTGTGCCTGGTGCTTTGAATCTAATTGTGTCAACTGCGCCATTTTAGTATATTCAACCTTATAATACTACTACACGCACGCAAAAAGGGGTGCTCAATATTGCGCATTAAACACCAGATTTTAAACACAAATTTAATCCAAACTGTGGACCTTTTTAAAATACAAATGACGTATTTGAAAAAATATTTTTGTTGATATTATATTGTTTAGGTAACTCTACCCCCCTGTGACCAGGTTTTGGAAATCCCACTAACATGTTTCCTGAGATTTATTGAACCAAAAACCAGTTTTTTATTCAAAGTTCTTAATATTCATATCATACAAGTTACACATTAAACTGAGGTATGCTTTCAATCATACAGAGTGGCCCACGAAACATGACAGTGGATGAATAGTTTAAAATGTCTTTTTCCATAATTTGTTAAATTGTTTGATACCAAAGATGATAATAAGAAATACTAAATGGCAGTAAGTTTATTGTAAAATTGATTTCAAATAGATATATGTTTGAGTAAAAGATGTGTTTAACGAAATAAACTGCAAAACATCTTAAATGACTAATACAGTATCATGGAGAAGACATTAAAAACTATTCACCAACTGTCATGTTTCGTGGGACGTAACTCCTCTTATTCAATAGCAATTAGGAAGAACAAAAAAATTTTGAATTTCTTCTAAGTGACCTAATAGATTTTTTTTCATACTTGTGTGTATAAGCAAAACTAGAGGAGCTACGAAGTCTCTAAGTTGTACCGTCTAAAAAACCAGCCTACAGGAGAACATTTTAACCTTCCAGAGTCTAAACCAGCCTACAGGAGAACATTTTAACCTTCCAGAGTCTAAACCAGCCTACAGGAGAACATTTTAACCTTCCAGAGTCTAAAACTAAACCAGCCTACAGGAGAACATTTTAGCCTTCCAGAGTCTAAAACTAAACCAGTCTACAGGAGAACATTTTAACCTTCCAGAGTCTAAAACTAAAGAATGCGCGAAATTTAAGTTACAGCTTAAAAGTTCTGAAAAATAATGAGTTGAGTTTAAATATTAATCTTTCTCAATTTAAACCTGAAGGGAAATTTAAATTTCCCGGGATAAATTTCAACCAATCAGAATTACGAGAATTACAAATCCACAGAGATTACTCAACATCAGCTGCTCTGTTTCATAATTTCAATTTCAAATTTCAAAATATATTTTGGATTACACGATGTCTTTGGTTATTCAGGATAATGGGAAAAGATTTATAATCTCAAATCGTCAGATTTAATCATTTTCATGATTGAAATATCGTTCATAGTTGAATGCGGGATTTCTGGGTTTAAATTTTAACTCGCAAAATTTTAACCCCAGGGTTAAAAATTCAGGTTCAAGTTAAGTGAGAAATGGCATTTAAGCTGAAACTTCGGAAATTTTAGTTCTTTAGTTTTAGACTCCAGTCAAGCATAAATTTAATCTTCTCCTTCTCTAGTTTACAGTGGTAAAGACGACATATAATATTTTATAAACACTACTCAAGTCACTTCGTAAAATGTCTTTTGATTTTTACAAATTTATTTGTCTTTAAAATAGATCTATAATTACAATTTCAATGAATACAATTTTGGATATGAATATTTCTACTGTTTAAGCAGACATTGTAAATCGTTTAAAATAAGCCACAGTCATAGGCGGTCTCAGGGGGGGGGGGTTGCAGTCCATTACCCCTCTCCTAAGTGAAATTAGGGGCGTGTACCGGTACCCCCCCCACGTTATTTTTTCAAAGGCATTACAAAGGCTTTTGTCCTGGAACAGGTCATCTATGACCACCGACAGGTTGGTCAACTTGGAAAGAATGGCGATGCATAATTTCGGACAACAGTGTTTTTAATACCATTATTTCAAGCGGACCAAGAAAACTAAATCATTATGGATTGGAAGATGGGAGGATATGTTTTATTTTTATTTTGAACTAAAAATCAATTTATTTATAAATTTATAATTTATTTATAAATTTTTAGCATTCTTATGAAATACTTTTTTTAACTTAAAAATAAACATAGTAACTACTTGCAGTCTCCTGCAAAAAAAATTGGCATGATTTAAGAAGCATTATTTACTAAAAGATTAAGAATAATTGCAGGATATAAAAAATAATTGTCTCTTCATTAGAATAATATGATATGATATGTATAATGTTATAATGCATATAAAGTTCAATCCATAATTTTTCTTTATTCGTTATAAGATAAATTAATATTAGAAGGGTTAGGGGGGTAAATAGAACTTTTTAGCAACAGGGAGTTACCCCCCCTATCTTAAAACCTAAAGCCTCCCTTGGACACAGTTAGATAAGTTGTTTTGTGTATAGTAAGTATATATTCTCCAAATATGCAGTTTTGTGTATTTTACAGAATATTCTCCAAATAAACCAGTTTGGTTTATTGTACAGTATATTCTACAAATAAACCAGTTTGGTTTATTGTACGGTATATTCTACAAATAAACCAGTTTGGTTTATTTGTAGAATACTCTAAAAATAAACCAGTTTGGTTTATTGTACAGTATATTCTCCTGGCTGAAAGCAGTACAGTTCGTTATCTTTTTCGTACAAGCATCCATCCAGGCAAATCACAACATTCGACATCTGAAAATAAAAAGAACTAATTGCTCGTTTAACAGTAAAATCTTCTACTTTTTATAACTTGGCAACTTGATGTCTAAAGATGTTGGAAACCGTTAATATTTCTAACTTTGATCAAAGAGTCAACCATGTCCGATTCATTACACAATTAAATGGTCATTAAACATATTTATCTGAGTAAAAATTATGATTATGTTTATGTGAAGTTTCCCATTAAAGAGACCGTTCACTTATTTGGGTAATTTCGGGGTAAACTAAATAGCTTATTAGCTATTTATTAATATTATTCTTGCCTTTTAAAGACAACTGTGGCCGGTGAAAAGGCTGATTTTTCGAAAAATTATGATTATTTGCATGTGAAGTTTCCCATTAAAGGGACCGTTCACTTATTTGGGTAATTTCGGGGTAAACTAAATTGCTTATTAGCCATTTATTAATATTGATCTTGCCTTTTAAAGACAACTATGGCCGTTGAAAAAGCTGATTTTTCGTTCCGAATTCGAGCACAAAGGGACGATACACTAATTGATGTTTTTTTGTCAGTGTCCTGGATTAAAAAAAATTCGATTATAAAATTAACCTGTACAGAATGTAATAGTTAATTGTAAATGTCATAATTTTTTTTTTTTTTAAAGGAGTGTTCGCGAACAATGAAAGGGGGTATAGGCTTACGGCGAAAAATAATTGCTTTTGATCGCTACTAATCTTACTTCTATCTGTTGCGTCTAAAAGGAGAAAATTGTTAAAAACTATACTTATACTGAGGAACGTAGCTTCCATGACAAATTCAGAAAGTTGTAATATACGACTCGTATCGTAAAATAATCAATTTAATTTCAAACAAATCATTCAGATATTACAACCTAAAGTCATTGATTATTTTTCGCGCATTCGTATATATTTAATATTTCATAATATTTTTATTCGTTTTGGATACAATTCACTTAAAACGCCGAAATAGTTGGCCGCCAGATGTCTCTGCTCTCCATGCTTTGAATGAGGATATATCTCACAAAATCAAATATGAAGAAACTGCATAAGTTCTGCAAACCCAGTGTTAGTTTCAAAGCAATGTGCGAAAATCTATCAAGCTTCGCAGTGCTGTCATCATACCACATTTTTAGAAAACGAAAAACACTAGACTGGGACCAATTGGGACTCCATTTCTGAAAACCACATCTGAATAACTAAACTATACCAAGCTAGACTCCATTTCTTAAAACCACCTCTGAATAACTAAACTACACTCTTGCTAAAAGTCTTGTATTGCACCTGTTTTTTGGCAAACCTGTCATTCATAAAATGCGATATCCAGATATGAGTATTAGGATAAAATTTAAAATTTTTATATTGTTTAAAGTAATTTTGCTTTAGGCAAATAGAAATGATGAAAATATAAATTTAACTCAAAAGTTGTCTTCATTTTATTAATATATACGACGACGAATAGATATTGGATAACCTTAAGAGAATATGTTCCATGTAATGGTCCATCCATAACAATCTTCTCAGCTGGGCAGACTATATCTGGTCGGTCAGTTGATCTAGCGCACTCAGAGACCTCAAGACTTTCACCAGAATTGAAACAGAACATGTTCTCATCAGATTCATACAGACAACCATCATCACATTGTCTAGAGCTACTGGCCTAAAAAATAAACCAAAGTAGATGTAAACACGGGCGTAAGTAAGGAGGGTTATTTGGGTTACTTACCCCCCCCCCCAGAGTCCTTGGGGTAATTACAAGAAAGAAAGATTATCAAAGGAGTCAGGAATAATAAAACCAAACAATTTATTGTATTCTTCTATGGTTAGTTTTAAAAAAATATTTTTATCTTTCTGAATTCTCAAAGCTAATATTGTAAACATTTAATGCAAAAAATTCTGAACTGTATTTAAACTTTAAATTATTTTGGTAAAATATTCTAAGTTTGAAATATCAAAGGTTTACACCACGCGGTGCAAAGATTTAGGGATTAGAATATTTGAGTTTGCGGCAAAAACTCAGTTCCAAATCTAGAGAACATTCTGAGACTGAACCTGGCAAACTACTAACTGATTATCATATTTGGTAACTGTAACCTGTGTATCTTTTTGAAAGAACTTCTATAAAATCGAAAATGAAATAAGATTATGAATGTTGGTTAGAATGATTAATCATAAATTCAGTAACTTCAGGAGAAAACGTAACATTATCTGTCCTTTTTCAAAGTAGATGATTAAAATTATTTATGTAGTTTGATGTTTTTTCAGAATATATAAAATGATTATTTCTTGTAATTGTATCTGTAATTAAACCAGGTACTTAACCAATTTTCTTTATCGCCCCGCGCACACCTGAAAAGAATTGATGGACTCATATCGTTAATTTTACAGTTGTTGAAAGTATACATTTTTTAAAAACACAAGAAAAAAGCGATTTGAATTGAACACAGCCAGATCTGCATGCAACAATTGAAAATTTCCTTTTTTCGACATCAAACCCTTAAAAAATGCACTTTTATTTTGGAAATTTTCTAAAGGGGCGGCAAGCCCCCCTACACCAGACCATTACAAAATAATATTTTGCCCCCCACCCCCTAGCAAAAGTGCTAGTTGCGCCTCTGAACACTTTCGCTTAGAGCTGGTTATAGTCTGAAAATTAAACTCTAGCTCCAATGACGAGTTAATCCTCATTAAAAATTAAAGATTGAAAACTTTTTTTTACCCTTAGTTTATATTCTCCTTTAAATTCCCCTTCCAGCACATTTCTGCACTCTGCACATAACTCCTGAGAAAAAGAGAAAAATACAGAAACCAACAAACAATAATTTAACTTACGGAGATAAATAGATTAAGTATAGTAAATACTTTACCTGGTTTACAGTAGTTGTTGTAGTAGTTGCAGTTGTTGTAGTAGTTGCAGTTGTTGTAGTAGTTGCAGTTGTTGTAGTAGTTGCAGTTGTTGTAGTAGTTGTAGTTGTTGTAGTTGTTGTAGTTGTTGTAGTTGTTTTTGTTGTTGTAGTAGTTGTAGTTGTTGTAGTTGTTATTGATGTTGTTGGTGTTGTAGTTGTTGTAGTTGTTGTAGTTGTTGTAGTTGTTGTAGTTGATGTTGGTGTTGTAGTTGTTGTTGTTGTTGTTGTTTTTGTTGTTGTTGTTGTAGTTGATGTTGGTGTTGTAGTTGTTGTTGTTGTTTTTGTTTTTGTTGTTGTTGTTGTTGATGATGATGATGTTGTTGTTGTTGTTGTTGTTGTTGTTGTTGATGATGATGATGTTGTTGATTTTGTTCTTTTTATTATTGCTGTAGTTAATATTGTTGTTGTTGTCATGGTCGAAGTGGAAGAAATGAGAGTTGATCTCTCAAAGATTGTTGTTGTCACGGTTGAAGTTGAAGAAATAAGAGTTGGAATTTCAAAGATTGTTGTTGTGGTTGTTGTTGTTGTTGTTGTCATGGTTGAAGTTGAAGAAATCAGAACTGGAATTTCAAAGATTGTTGTTGTTGTTGTTGTCATGGTTGAAGTTGAAGAAATCAGAACTGGAATCTCAGAGATTGTTGTTGTTGTTGTTGTTGCTGTTGTTGTTGTTGTTGTTGTTGTTGTTGTTGTTGTTGTTGTTGTCATGGTTGAAGTTGAAGAAATCAGAACTGGAATCTCAGAGATTGTTGTTGTCAGGACAACTTTAAATGGAGTTGAACCCACGGGCGTTTTGGATGGTGTAACAACTATAAATGGAGTTGAGTCTAATGGCTTTTTTGTTGTTGTTGTTGTTGTTGATGTTGTTGTTGTTGTTGTTGTTGTTGTTATTGTTGTTGTTATTGTTGTTGTTGTTGTTGTTGTTGTTGTTGTTGTCGTTGTTGTTGTTCTTGTTGTTGTTGTTGTTATTGTTGTTGTTGTTGTTTTTGTTGTTGTCGTTGTTGTTGTTGTTGTTGTTGTTGTTGATGATGTTGTTTTTGTTGTTGTAGTTGTTGTTGTTGTTGTAGTTGTTGTTGTTGTTTTTGGAAGAACAACAACTAATGGAGTAGAGCCAACTTCTACAGAATCTGTTTTAATTGATGATGTTTGATTGGTATCCTCTACCTATAGATAGTAGATACAGTGTATTCTTATTGAAGGGTTTCTACATCCAATGTTTTACTCAGAGATAAGAGAGTACAGAGATCTATCAAAGGTTTGTATATGCGATATTTTCTACAACAGGTACCTTTGGATATGAAATTAAAATGTTAGAGTATTTCTTTGAAAGTTGTAAAACTTTATCCCTGAATTAGTATTATCATAGATGTAACACTAAATGTCTTCTTTTTCAGATTTTGGGATTTTTCGTCCAAAATAATCCTAAGGCAAAAGGAGTTACGCGCATGCTCTCTCACTCTGTGTTGCCATTCAACGCAGCATGAGAATAACTTCCTTGGGCTTTTGCAGGGGTATTGTGAAAGAAATACCCCCAAATCTTGAAAAGACGACATATAGTGTTCTATTGTTATTAATCTATGGGTATACACAATTAGTGGCGGTTAGATGGCAGTCAAGAACCTTTTGCAGAAATATTTCATTTCGTGCCGGTACAACTATTGGCCTACATGTCCCAGCCCGTGAAAGATGATAAGATCCAATACCGCGGAAAAATGAGATTAATATTAATATATCAATTGCATTCATATATTAAACTCATTTTCCCCGGCATTTGATCTTAAATATGTAATACGACATTATAAAAAACTCTTGCTATGTATTCATATGTCTGGGATTCACTGTCATTAAAGTTTCAGTCGTCTTTATAATGTCTTATTCTCTGTTGGTAACCCTAAATGTATTTTAAGAATTTTCTTTAATTTGGCAAAATAACAAGTTTTATGAGTAATTACCTGCAATAGAAAAATAAGAAAGATAAAGTGCTTGATCATCAACATTTTGTCAATCTAATCAATATTCAAGGAAAACAGTCAGAAAGGAATGTGGTTTTGCCGTACACATTTTTTCCTAATCCCTGAACCGTTACAATCCGTCTTTGTAAACCTTTGATACTTCTTGATCTACCAGGATTTAGAGTTTGTTGTTGTACAGATAAAGCGATTAGAAATTCAGAGTTTGATACAAAAACTCGATTCCTTTAAAGATGTATTGTTTCAATCAAACTTTATCAAAATTGTGTTTATATCACAAACTTTTAAACCTCTATATCTTTTCAACCTAATAGCGTAATCCTTTGATATTTCAAACTTAGACGATTTGATCTAACAGAATGCATAGTTTGAAATATCTAAGGTCTATTACTTTTGGTTGAGAAGATATACAAATTAGAAAATAAGATTTTGTTGCAAAGATTCGTTTCCTGTACATGTGTATTCCTAAAGATAAACACACAATGATTTCAAAATCTAGTACAGTGATACCCATAACACTGTGGAATATTAACATGACATTTAAGGAATCTTATGTTTATTTGACATTGTAGGTTGTAGCAGCTTGGAAGTCAAATTATTAAGTGAAATGGGTTTGTACTCTTTGTGCACTGTTTCATGTTCATTGGACCATTCAGTATTATAACTTGAGTCCACAGTCTACTGTTTTATGAGCCTAATTGTATTTTGTAAGTTCAATTTTCATTACAAAAAATTGCAACAAAAATACTTCCGAAATCCAAAAACATCTTTGGATAAAAAAGAAATATTAAATTTGTATACAAAGAAACATCGAAAAATAATTTCCAAAAATTCCTAAAATCTAAATAGAAATAGGAGTATAAAATAATCATAATTGTATTTTTAGATTTAAGTTGATTTGAATGAGCTTGACTAGGATCGCATTGAACCTTGGCTATCTCCTGACTACCATTTACATCTTATAACATAGCTTACAGTTACACTTGTACTCTTGCATGAGAGAGAAAATAATAACTATATGGTTAATCATGAAAATACTCATTTATAATATTGAATTGAAGTTTTGCATAAGGATTCTGTCAAAATATATTGATTTCAGGAAATGAAATTTATTACTTGCTTCAAACTTTAATTTTCTATTAATGAAATAACACAATTATTAATGGTGCTGTAAACCTTTGATATTTCAAACTTTAGCAATTTGAAAAAACAAGACATTCATATATATGTGTTGCGTATAGCCGGCTGGACCGATTGGGCTGAAATTTTGGTGGACACTCATGGTTGGCAGGGGTTATTAAGGGCTTAAAATAAATTTGATTTTTTTTTTTTTTTTTATTTTTTTTTTAATTTTTTTTTTCAACGGGCAACTCCAGACCCTTCAGCTAGTTGTTGATATAAGGATTAAAAAGGTAGAGGTTAAGGCGAGTAATAAATCAGTCCCATTTAACATTTTTAGTTAGAACCTATTATTTTTAAAAAACTCCAGATCGAAACAGTATATTTGTATTTGCTGCTTTATATGGTTTATCATTAAATGGAAAGATATAGCTCTGATTCTTCATGGAATACTTAAACTAGAGAAATTGTTTTCATAATAACTATATTATAATCTTCTCAATGGTATATTATTAAAATATGAATTGCATGATTATATAAGTACTGTAAAATGTGAATGAAAAACATTTAAATGTTTAAATAAATAAAACTGCACAAAATCTTTAGAGCAAAGTTTGTCTGAAGATAATTTCATATTATTTTTTAATTCTGAATAAAATCATTTAATTCTTTTTAAACTAATTTATATTTGATTTTTTTTAACTACAGCTTTGTAATCTAAACCTAATTAAAACTTAGTTAGACTAATGCACATTTATCTTATTATACAGTTGTCGTCGTAAATATCAATTCAATGAAGACGAATATCTATTTCGATTTTTATTACTACTAACAGCTTGAATACACATAAACAAGGAAACAAAGAGAAGCTTTCAATTAACAGATTCTTCTAATGTCTTGTAATCTTGTAATCTTGTAATCTTGTAATCTTGTAATCTTGTAATCTTGAAATCTTGTAATCTTGTAATCTTGTAATCTTGTAATTTTGTAATCTTTTATATTGTAATCTTGTAATCTTGTAATCCTGTAATCTTGTAATCTTGTAATCTTGTAATCTTTTATATTGTAATCTTGAAATCCTGTAACCTTGTAATCTTGTAATCTTGTAATCTTGTAATCTTAAATTTGAAAATAAGCTTGTTTGAAATCAAAACCTAAATTGAAAAGTCGTCCTCATTGCATTGATAAAACGCCGTCCACTGTATGAGATGTTTCATTGATAATATCCTAGATTACCATTTTTAGACCCCCTCCCCCGGGCCCCCCTCCTATCAATTTTGTACATGGATCTCATATGTTACACATGAATATAATTGGTCATTTGGTCGCAGCGCCAGGCCCCCTAGCCTTTCCTTGCCGCGGCGCTCGGCCCCCTAGTCTGTCTTAATCCAGCTTAACCCTAAAATGATAAAAAAAATGATAATTTTGCTGAAAATTAGTGGTTATGTACACAAATGACAGGAGGGGGGTCGTGGGAAGGGTTGGGGGGTAAAAAAAATCGTATACTAGGACGGACTATGTTTCATTTGGTGTACTGTCTCGTATACCGTCTTCAATACGTCTTACTGCCTGAAAATCGGTTCGATATATTCAGTCTATTCGATATATTCAGTCTAGTTTAACAAATATATTCAGTCTAGTTTAACAAATATATTCAGTCTAGTTTAACAAATATATTCAGTCTAGTTTAACAAATATATTCAGTCTAGTTTAACAAATATATTCAGTCTAGTTTAACAAAACAAAAACCTCTTGATTGACAGCTTCTCTTTGTTTCCATGTTTATGTGTAACCACTCTGCATGCGGTTTGCAAAACCAAAATTGAACTGGAAAGTCGTCTTCATTGTCTTGATATGTACGACGACGACTGTATATCTCTCTATTTATTAAATCTGATCCCTCCTTTCCAATAGTTTTGAATTGTGTTCAGTTTATTAAAGAAGTCCAAAACTTGTTTGTTAAGTGAACGTATAAAATGCCTTTTTTTGCTGAAAAATAGGTGAATTTTTTATTAACATAGGTATGTATGGTAGTAAGCAGATACTTTTCTTGTTTTTCAACATTTATTCAATAATTTTTTTTTCAATTCCCCACTACCCTAACTACCACCGACAAGTTGAAACTTTTTTTTTCAACATTTATTCATTAATTTATTTTTCAATTTGCCACTACCCTCACTACCTCCGACTTTTTAAAATCTATATATCAACATTTTTTTCAAAATTTTTTTTTTTTTTAAACTACCCTCACTACCATCGACAAGTTGAAACTTTTTTATCAACATTTATTCAATAATTTATTTTTCAATTCCCCACTACCCTCACTACCACCGACAAGTTGAAACTTTTTTATCAACATTTATTCAAGAATTTATTTATAATTCCCCACTACCCTGAGTTCTACCATTTATATACAAATCAATACACATCTTTATTTTAAAAATTTAAATTTTTACTACTTTAACTACCTTTTATTTACCTCACATAAAGCTAATGTGAAAAATAAGGCATTTTATACATACAGGTTTGTTAATGCGCTTTGTATACATTATTTATTATTGTAAAATTTATGTAGATACATTTTACAAACAGTGTAGATACAAAAGTTATGCAATATTGTAATTAATTATTAGGTCCATCAAAATAGTTTTAGTTAATTAGCTCTGTTACATATTGCATAAAGTATAGCAAACACAAATGTTTATATCAATCAATGGTAGAAATAATTACATGGATACAGTTTCTCAAAAATATATCTCACATGCAACCGACATCTTGAAGTGATTTATAATTGTATTTTTCATAAAATATTGCAGAAAAATCATTACCACAGCATTTAGCAAAAAATATTAAATATTAAACTTTTAATTAAAATTGTGGATAATTTGTTTCGATAAACAAAACTAAATTTAAAAAAGAACATATGTAAGTGCATGACTGCATGCATGACTTAGGTTGACTGCATGATTATCAAAGCTGAAACTGAAAAAATATTTACAGATACAGGTTGTCCCAATAAACATGGGAATTAAGTGACGACTTTAATATCGTCTTTGTTCCTTGCGGCATTATACGTTAACACACACAATTTTAGTAGTATCTCAGATAAAAACTTGACATCTAAAACTACAAGACTTGGGAATTCCAAAATGTGGTCTACCATTTTCGCATCATCAAAATTGACGGAGTTATAGACAAATCTGCCCAAACTCTCCATTATTAAATTGTTCAAATGTTTGATGTCTCGTCAATTTTAAACATATAAAGAGGGCAGACCACATTTTGAAGAGCTCAGAAGACATGCATTCTTTTAATGATTCACTTTTTGTCATTTTTTTCAACTATCAAAGACGACTTTCAAGTTGTCTCTTAATTCCCATGTTTATTGGGACACCCTGTATCAAAACAACTGGAACAAAAGTAAAATCAATCCCAACAATTTGACGAGAAACTATTTTCCAATAACTGGAGGTTTGTAGTCGAGGTTGACCGCTGCTGTAAAGCTGGCTGCATACAAATCAAGCCTCTGGGTTAACTAAGAAACAATTATATTAAGACAGCAATAATAGTAAACTTGTTTTTTATTAAGTAGCTTGTGAAGGTTTTGGTATACAACTTCAATAAACTTAAAAAGGTTAAAAGAAAATAATTTAGCTAAGGAGAAAATGTCAACATAATGTCAACTTTTACAATTTTGGAAAAACACTCAATTTAAACAGAAAACTCAACAAGATTATTTGTTGATTGGGTTCCAATGAAAGATGGCGACTTGCAAAGAAGTATTTAAAGGCTTATATTGTTGGTAGAAAAGAGCCGCAAAGCGCTATTAAAAGGGAGTGACAAGCTATGTAAGGCAGTTGAACTGGGTATGCAGTGTATAGGAAGGTGTTGAGAAAATAAAAATTAATCTTATCATCGAAAATAAGTAATTTTGTTCAATTATTAGTTTCTGGTTTCTCATTATTGACAAAGGTTTTCTGCAGATTTTCTAGAATTATTATTGAAAAGACGACATTTGAAGAATTTGAAGAAATCTGCGAATAAATTCAAACTAAATAAGAAATTCAATATAATAATGACAACGAAATAATAATCGATTTAGCATTGATTTATTGACAAATTTCTTTTGCGAAATATATGTTCCTAACCATCTAATTAGATTACTGTATAATTTTTACTTTATTTTTCGTTGTCATTATTTAATAATTAAAAAAACTAATTTTGAAAACGTATCCACCCCCAAGTTTTGAATGTCGAATTTGCGCTCAAACTCAGGATTTACAGATCTTTAAAAAGTTTAATATGTCTCAAATGAATCCGAAAGAAGTTTTTCACAACACTGCATACTCAGTTCAACTACCTTACATAGCCGGTCACTCCCTTTAAAGCATAGTTCCAAAAATTGCTCCTCGCTGATAAAAATTGATAAAAAGTATAAACAAGTATTCGCCGAAAACGAACTACCGGACCCTTTGAAGAAGTAATAATTGTATTTTTGTCTTACCCTTAGTCCCCATTTATCTGTAATTTGTCTGCACAGGTTTAAATCCACCTCAGTAATCAGCAATCCATCTTTCACTCTGCTCAGTCCCTGCATTATTTATTAAATGTATCTTGGCTCAGCTCCTATATTATTTGTTAAATGTATCTCGGCTCAGCCCCTATATTATTTGTTATGTATCTAATTAAAAAATAATGAAAATTAAGGAGTTTTATAAATTTGTTGCCATTTTTCAAGCCACGACCAGGGCCTAAGATCATTTTTATTTAGGTGTGGAATTGGATTTAGATTTAAAGCTTGCAGTTTATGCTTCATAATTTTCTCTATTTCTCGTTACTTAGATCCAGATCTTAAATGAGTGTTCATTTTGTTTGAAAAACATGTGAAAAGGAAAGCTATCTGATTGTTTATGTGTAAAATTCATTCCAAACTTAGATCTATGAGCTCAAGTAATTCATGGTTTGAAATATTAGGTTTCAAGATTGCAACGACATATAACTAGAAAGGTAAGTATTCTGATTTTTTTTGCTTTTGTTTTTAAGAAAAAAAATTGTTTTCCACTATTAGCAAAGATCTACCAGAGAGAACTGCCAATTTTTCAGGGAATTTACTTTTCGACGTATTTTCGAGACTTTTTTGATGAAATTTCGATGAAAACACTTTTTCTCCCGAGGGAAATTCTCGCTTTAAGTATAATTATTTACAACTGCTTAAAAGGGAAGTTAAGGGAATTTTACTATACCAAGGATTCCCCAGACCAATTTTGTCTGCAAAACATCCAGAGCGGAGAGAGGGATGTTTTGTAGACAAAAATTGGTCGAGGGAACCCGTGGTTAAGTAAGATTTTTAATTTCCCGAAAAAGTAGTTAATTGCACACAATTTTATCGTCTTTTTTTGGGATCAAAACTTTGTCATGAAAAATTCGCAGAGCGGTTGGTTATTTTGCATAACTGTCCCAAGGGACGTTAAGTAACTTAACCTCCCTCTGTTGGGGTAATCATAGGTCAGTAATGTTGGTCAAAAGGCGGTAAAATATGTAATTTTATCCCATTCTTTAAGCAACATTATTAATCGATTTAACTTGTCAATATTAATTAATGAGTAGAGTTAATTGTATTATTGATAATATTAATATGTCTAAATGCTAAAAAAGTTTTTTATTTTTTTTAAAACTTCATGGCTACATCTGATGAAAATTTGCAGTTCATCATTTTCACTCCATTGGGTTAAGAAAAATATATTTACTGTTCTCCGGGAGAAAAAGTTAAAGAGTTGATATGAGCAACGTCAATAATATTGCACAGAATGGGATAAATATCAAAATTATTTTCAAGTAAATCCTACAGGAGTTCTGCTGCCATCAGGAGCTGCGATATAACTGGATCCGTAGAAATGTCCGAACTCCTTGTGTGCTGGTTTACCATCCCCTGAGGTAAATTCCCTGTAAAATAGGTTTTTTTTCCCTTTTTTCTTTCTATATAATAAAACAAGACATTCATATATATGTTGCGTATAGCCTGCCAACGACGGCTGGACCGAATTGGCTGATTTTTTTTTGTGGACACTCATGGGTGGCCGAGAAGCGTTATTGGCTAAAATATTCGAAACTATTTTTTTTTTTATTTGAAACAAAAATTCCACGGGCAACGCCGGGCCCTTCAGCTAGTTACAGATAAATAGAATTGTTATGAAAGTTTTAGAGTGGTTGGTCCGATCAACAACGGTACCATTACAAGTTTTGTCTGATCATGAATCAATGATTTTTCTGTAAAATTTGATACTTTCAATCGTGGGGTTTTCTATAAAAGTGATTTCAAGATTTCTTGTTACAGAAACAACAGCGGAATTATGTGAAAATTAAACACTTTTAAAGATAGAAAACGACGACATTTCTACATCATTTATCATTCCCTTTATGTTAAATTTCTGATCTTGTATAAACCATATTTAAATATTTGAATTTATAATAAAATATTGGAATTGGATTTAAATCAAATGAACAGAAAGACAGCTTTAGGATTACTAATAAAGACTTCAGAGACGACTGTGTGGAATTTATTCATTTTGACATTTATGACTCTCCGCAAGCATTACACTATCATTTTCTTTACTATCTAATTAAATATTTTCAATAACCTACCCCAAATTATGCCTTCTAATTGTCGTATTAAAAGATTTTAAGGTCGTTTTAAACGTTTCAAACTTTGCTGGTAACTCTGTAACTCTATCAGAGAGTTCGAAAGATAATAATTATCTTACATGCTTACCTTGGAAAATGTTCAGTTCCAACTCTATTGATGGCAGCTGTAAAATAACTGTTGGCAATAGCAGCATTTCTAGCTTCTATCCTCCACATTGGTTCAGATAGGGAACCTAGATATATACACAATACACATATAAACAGTTTGTTTAAATCTTCCTGACAGCAACAATCTCAAGAACTGACGAGGGTCAACCACGACCGAAACATGTTTTTAATAAATGTGGAACTAACATCTACTTTATTTTACTCTTCAGAGGTTTGGTCCATCAACATCACCGAATTTTAAACATTCCGTAGTTCTACAGAGTTCCTGAATAAAAATTTGAGGCAAATCGGTTATGATCAGACATACAAACAAACAGAGATTACTACTTTATATATATACATATATATATATAGATGATAAATTTCCTACCAACAGTTGCGCTTGGATTGAAGACGATCTCAGCTCCGTTTACCCCGTACATCATCCAGTTCTGAGGATGGTGTCTTCCATAACAGATATTTATAGCAATCTTTCCGTAGATTGTCTGGAACACTCTATGACCAGTGTTGCCCTGGAATTTAATATAGTACAGGGTTACCCACAAAAGATAAGACTTCATAGACGACTGTACGGAATCAATACTACCTGTTTTCTTAAATTTATGGTTCCCGGCGGCTGTAAACAGATTATTTCTTTGACAAATTATAAAATAAGCGCATTGAAGGACTATTTTCAGGGCAAAAACCTTGAAATCGTCATATTTTCAGAGTTTTGAGTCGTCTTTGCAGTCTCATCCTTTGTTTCTGCATACTAATCTAATTTTCTAATTTATATTTCTTTAAAAATATGATGTTGTATATCTTTGTTATTTAAAACTGTTAAATTCTACTAGATTAAATAATTTAAGTTTTAAATATCAAAGTATACACCATCTGGTTGCAAAAATATAGGGATTAGAAAATTCCAGTTTGTAGCAAGTAATCTATTACTTTGCTAATAATATATCGATAAATGGTTTTGTGTCGAAAAGTATCAATTAAAATCAAATTAGCAAAATCCTTGGAATGGGTCTGGCGTTTAATTTCTTTAAATTAAATTTTGCAAAACGAGCTTATAATCCTCACCTCATAGTAATAACTTGATTCGTTGAAATCTCCCACTCTAGGGATATGGTTCTTACGAGATATACCCAACACTTTCCCAGTCTGATCTATACATATAAAAAAGGAATTGAGTTTTTGACACAAACTCACATGTTCTTATCACTTTATCTTTGCATCCTGCTGGTGTAACACTTTTATATATCAAACTGAAAATATTGGATCTTACAGAATTCATAGTTTGAAATGTCAAGGTCTACGACATTCGGTTTTAAAGATATAGGAATAAAAAATCATATTTTGTGGCAAAGACTTAATTCCTTTGGGACTAAGACTATAAATATTTTATCTGGTATTATTAAAGAGAAATACTAATTTTACTTTGCTCACAAAAACGCCGCATAGATCTAAGGTTAAAGATTTACAAAGGAATTAAGTCTTTTCCACAGCCCTGATTTTCTAATCCCTAAATCTCTGCAACCCAACGTCGTAGACCTTAGATATTTCAAGCTATGAATCTGTTAGATCAAATAGTCTCAGATCAGGTTATATGGAATTAGATTTTTTGGGACAAAGCCTCAAATCCCTTTTTTAACATTAAAAAAGTGGGACAGTCATATTTTTTAAGAAACAGTTAAATGGTTTACCAATAACAACTGCAGTATTCCAGAGTACATCTCCGTGTGTTTCATCTCGTTCAAGAATAGGAGATATAATAACCATCTTATACTTCTCAGCTAACTAAATACAAGATAAAATCATGTTTGAAAATGTTTAAAGAATAGGAGATATAATAACCATCTTATACTTCTCAGCTAACTAAATACAAGATAAAATCATGTTTGAAAATGTTTAAAGAATAGGAGTTATAATAACCATCTTATACTTCTCCGCTAACTAAATACAAAATAAAATCATATACATTTATATGAGATTATAAGATCAGAGTTCGTAGCTAAATCTCAATTCCTTTAAATCTATAATTAAAGTTCTGTGTGATGTTATAATTCTTAGGTTGATGATGTTAATACTAATGTAATAAATAAATGGCATAATTCTACAACCAATTTTAATTTTTGGTTATTTGATAAAAGTGCTTTACGCATATGCAGCAGAGGAAGAGAAGAATTTAACAAATTTCCTTAAAAAACTGTTCATTGTAACCTTTGCTAGAAATAGTGTTGAATGTCCATCTATTGCTGATTCTGCAAACTGTGTCCAAGGATGCTTCTCTCTTGTACAGAACGCAAACGGCATTGCTAAAATAGAAATATTTTTAAAAAGATTTTTACTTCTTGGAGTTGGTTTTATTCTTGAAATGAAACCTCGTGCATGAAAAGTTCTATTCAAAGTTTTCTTCATATTCCTGATCTTAACTTTTTTGAGACGATAACCAATATTTAAATTTTTTGTAAAATATTATTCATGTACACTCTAAAGACACTGTAGCTAGTAAAAATATATTCTATTTAAAAAAACATGACTTTGCCACCCAAAAAAGTCAATTACTCAGTTAATAAATGGATAACAAAAGAATTAAGTCTTTGCCACAAACTCCCTATATCCCTTTATATCTTCCAACACATTGTCGTAAACCTTAGATATTTCAAACTATGAAATCTGTTAGATCAAATAAGTTTGAAATATCACAGGTTTAAACCAAATATACAGGGATTAGAAAATTTAAGTGTGTGGCAAAGACTCAATTACTTCAGAATAAATCAATTAGAACTTTCATGTAAGGTTTCATTTTAGAGTAAAACAATCTCCAATGAAAGAGTAAACATCTTTTTACTTATTATTTACTTACTCCATGCTTCCTGAAGGCAGACTATATTAACCCCTGCTCTTCCAGCATTCTCTATAATGGCTCCAATACGAGCATGCAGTGCAGAAATCTGAATTAGAAAATACGAACAATAAACGTTTTGGAATAAAGTCTTTGAAAGGCATTAAATGATCTGTCAAAAATCAATTGTACAACTGCGAAAAGTAAAGATTAAAGTAAAGAAGCTGAAATAAATGCGTAAAATCGTTTCTGAAATCTTATTTTGTGCTGTTACTTTTACACACATAATAGAATAGTTAGACTTAGACAATATTTGAAAAGATTAGACAATGTTTGACAATATTAGACAAGATTAGACGATGTTAGACAAGATTAGACAATGTTAGATAAGATTTGACAAGATCAGACAAGATTAGACAATGTTAAACAAGATTAGACAAGATCAGACAATGTTAAACAAGATTAGACAAGATCAGATAAGATTAGACAATGTTAGACAAGATTGGACAATGTTAAACAAGATTAGACAAGATCAGATAAGTTTAGAAAATGTTGGACAAGATTAGACAAGATCAGATAAGATTAGACAATGTTGGACAAGATTAGACAAGATTAGACAATATGTAAGTTAAGGATACCTGATCTTGAATCGGTGAATCTGTTGGTAAAACTATTTTGTTCTGGATTAGTCCAATCTTAACCAACCTAATTAATCAAAAATATTGTCTAGGCAGGATATTGAATTTAAAGGTACTATAAGTGTGATCTTTAGTGACCCATGATACAAAGATGGTAATGCCCAATTCACAAAGGTACCCTTGAAACCATTATCTTTTCAATAATGATGAAGATATTGGCGTTTTCTAATTTTAAAAGCGTTTAATTCTGATAATTCCAAGATGTTTTCCTGCAGCAGACTTGCCCAAGTCACTTATGTAGAGAAGCCACAATTAAACTAAATAGCCTGTTAGCTGTTAATTGGTATTAGTCTTATTTTTCAAAGACAACCGTGGCCGGAGAATTGCGCTCGAATTCTGAACGAAAAATCGCCTTTTTCTCCGGCCACAGTTGTCTTTGAAAATTAAGACCAATACTTATCAATAGCTAATAAGCTATTTAGTTTACCCCGAAATTACCCAAATAAGTGAACAGTCCCTTTAAATTTATCATTATGGATCAGACAAAGATTTAAAGGGTGCTGTTGTGAATCAGACTCTAAATATCTACAATCCTGGCTTTCAGAAGGCAAACTCTGCGGGTTAGTTTTTGCTTTAGTTAAAGAAACAGTAAAAAGGTAAAATCATTAATAGGATAAGCGGCTCAAAGCATTTCTATTTATGCGACAAGATTAAATTTACCTGGGTCTTCTAGTCTCTTCTGGTAAGGCAGGAATACTGAACGCTTTCACCTAAAAATATAAAATTTTAAAAAAATTTTAATGAAAAATATGGTTTTTATTTATTGAAAAATTTGTTTTCCAAAATTAAAGTAGTAGTTGTTAAGAAATCACACATTATACTATAAAAAAACGTGTGGCATGTTTGTATTATTTCCAAAACTTTCTTAGTTAAATATTTTTGTTTGATTCTTCAGCGGCATCAGCGTTTAACCTGATTTTACCAATATTTTCTTTAAAACCATAATCACAGATTAGCACTAGTCCTGTTATTTCCTAAATGTGGTCTGCTATTTTTGAGCTTTCACAATTACCGGAGATATAAATGATTTCGTTCATAACAAGACATTTTTATAGTTTTATTTCATATATTGTAATTTTTATATAATTCTTAATAACTCTGATATTTTTGAGCAGACCACAATTTGGAAATGGCAGGATTAGAACAATTCTGTGATATTGGTTTTATAAAAAAAAATATTGCTAAAATCAGGTAACCTATGTTGAATGCCGCAAAATATTTCTAAAGTCAAAGACAACTTCGAAGTGATCAATTAATCTATAACACTATTCAGGGTTATTTATAATTTTACTGTATGTCCGATCATAACTCAGAAACCCAATCACTAATTTGCCTCAAATTATGATTAGGTAACTCCGTAGAACAACGGTAATGTTCTCAGTGTGGTTTAAAAATCCCTAAATTTCGTGAGTCGACTTTGAAAGAGAGCTAGTTACAACTTAAAATACAAAAAAGATGGCGTCCTCCTTCATATTCTACTGATTTATGGGTGTTCTTATACCTGATAGTTTTCAGCCTCAGCCTTCTCGAGAACCTCGGCAGGAATTTCAAGATCACTAAAATATTTAAAGAATATTTAAAATAGAGAATATTTTAACCAATTCTAATTAAACTTTAAAATTTATCCAAATTTGATATTGTTTCTTAAACAATTTTTATAAAGTGGATCCTCTTCATAAAAATAATATTAATTTTAACATAATAGTTTAATGGAACGAATTCATTTTTTGCTATTTAACTTTAAAAACAAGACGAAAATAAATTTTTTTTAAAATTTTTTTTTGAACAACGTCAGTAGTTATGGATTAGGCTGGGATATGACACATTTTAAAAAATATTAAGCTAATATTATTTTATTTTATTGTTATTTTGAGAGAAACACTAAAAGCGTTCAAGATGATGGCTGACAAAAAGGCATATTGTTGGGTAAAATAGTTGAGCTTTTAAAGGTTTACACCATCAGGTTTAAAAAATATAGGGATTAGAATATTTGAGTCATTCAGAATATGAAAAAGTGTCATAGAAAGGGAAGATAACGATATTATAAACTTACAGAGCTCTGGGTTTGATATCGGATTTTGCTTATAGATTCTAATTCTCCAGGAGGAATATATATACTTACAGAGCTGGGTTTCCATATAGGATTATATTGATAGATTCTAATTCTCCAGGAGGAATATATATATACTTACAGAGCTGGGTTTCCATATAGAATTTTATTTATAGATTCTAATTCTCCGGGAGGAATATACTTCTCCAGGATACTTTCAACACTCTCAACTTCACCAGACATTGTTCAGCTACCTATCTATCAGCTGGAAACAAATCTTCTTTTAATTATATCATTTATTTCAAAATTTTCTAATTGTCTCTACAAACTTAAAAAGGTAGTTTATTGTCACTGTAAATACTTTGATTTAAACAATTCTATATAAAATTCGCTGAAGACCAAATTGAAAGAAAAGCAAGATAACGTTGAATCGCGGAGACTTAGTTGAACTACTACTCTTCAGCTTGGCCCGGCACACTAAAGATGTGATTCAACCTAATCTATGCGGTTCAACCACTTCGATCGTTCTGTAGTACATTTGAATTTCCGAGCCGGGTCAACCTTTCCGGTCCCAGTTTGTACTGTATCGCCCGGACATTGGGTAAATAAAGCAGACACTTAAAAGGACTAGCCCATGACTAGCCGGTGTGAGCCGGTGCAACAAGGTTGACGCGGTCAGACTTTAGGTTGAATTTACTTTTACTAATGTGTCAGGGGAGTGTGGTATAAAATCTAATCGTTGATTATGTTAATTGGAAAGTTTTGTTTTATGTACTTTTCTAGGCTATTATGGGTAAACTTGAACTTGGAACTATTAAAAGAGCAAATCAGTTTTAAAAATTGTAAATTTTTAACAAATGTGTATTCCAGCATTGTGTCAAATTAAATAATAAAAACGAAGTCTTATCTCTGATAAAAGTCAAAAACAAATTTCGCCTTCGGGTGTCTTTTGGTTCCTAAATCTGGATTTTTTTGTTCCGAAATAAATCTAGCACCCTCCTCACTTAAATACTTTATCCGCCCCTGATGTAATGTTACAATAAACAAATGATCTATTAAAACTGAATGTATTATTTAATTCTACACTTGGGTATTATTTTGTTTATTTACAAAAAGAACTGGTTTTGTATGTGAATTACTTAATATTCAAGAAGTTATCATTAATGTTTATAAAATTCCAAAAATTAATTTGTTCTCCAGAATACAAATCTTTAATTAATGTTTTAAAATCTTATTTGTAAAAGATAAGCATAGATGATCTTTCTTTATTTTTACCTCGAGATGTAAACTTCTAATAAATTATGCAAAAAAAAAGTATACCATATACTTTAAAGTTTGGGTGCTAAATGTCAAAAAGGTCGGAAAATGTAAACATATATTTTTTTCTTAAGTTTTTGACAAATATAAAGATGTGACACATGCTTTTACTTCAATTTTTCCAGGGTTTTTTTAAAATGTAGTTTTTAGATCTGTAGCTTTAATATCAAAAGTTATGGGCTGTTTTAGACTTTTTTACACAGACCAGCCTTGTAACCGCTATTCAGTGTTATGCACTCTACCCAATGCATTAAAAAAAAGTAAAAAATGTCAAGGTGATTGTGTAAAAAATGGCAGTGTAGGGCAAAAATACCTAGAGGGGGCGGCCTGTTTAGGTTTTAACTATTGATTATATATAGGATAGATATCCTATGAACCCTTATCACTATGTGTCTATATATAGAAAGCAAGATGATACCTAGATTATAAAGCTTGTATTTCAAATCAAGAATTCTGTAAATAGAAACTGGTAAAACAACTTTACAGGGGGTAGAGCAACATCAGATTTTTTTAAAAATAAATGTGCATAAAATTCATAAATATCTTGATATTTCCTTGCTTTGACAAATTCGGCATTAATTGCGCATTTTACGAAAATGCGCAATTATCACTAGATAAGCCTGAGCTAGACGTCTAAACCAAGTTGACAGACATGGAGGAATAATACTCGTAAATAGACCCATAGGGGGGATTGATATTTGGCAAGGAAAGGGGGATGAGTAAGGATAAATAACTTGAACTTGGTCTTTTTACACGTTTAAAGCATTCAATATACTTAATTTGTAGAATTAAAAATTATCAATTTAATTTAATTTGGCAACAAATTTAAATGTATTAATCATTTTCATGTCGAAACCCGCTTATTTATTGCTTTTTCTCATATATTTATCGCTAGTTTCAATTTTGAATTGGACTTGATCCCAGAAAATACTGGGATCACATACAGCTGGATCAAATTTGATCCCCGGACCGGGCCGCCAGTTTCAAGTTGACACCAGCGAATCAAATTTGAAACTAGCGCGCGCCCAAAACCGGTTCAAACCCGGTTTGAAATTTGATTCGGGCTTTTAGACTTTTAGCTCTGTTATCACTAGATAAACCTGACTGAACCGGTTCTGAACCTGTACTGATTAGCTCACTGCAAGCAAAACCATTGTTTTCATGTTTAAAATACATAAAACTGTGATAAGGCTTTACTATCCTTTATTTTTGCAGCGGCACGTTCTATTCATTGCTATTCATGTGAAACTAATTAGATATGTTTTAATATGCTTTGATGTTTGTTGTGTACATGTCAGAAAATTACTTTAAACTCTAGTTATTCTATTAATGTATAATTTATTTTGCATCAGATAAAATCGCACCCTGATCTCTAATAGTTCTCCTTAAATCTATTTACTTGGAATGTTTTGTTATCATTTTTGAAATTAGGTGGAAAAAATAATCAAAACAGCCAAGAGCTATTTTCCACCTAATTGATTTATCCTTGTACTGTTAATATAATCACCAATTTGTAATTGTAAACTCGTTCTGTACACAGATACATATATTTTAGCAATAAACGTACCTATACAGACAAAACGATACTTACCTATACAGACAAATCAATACGTACCTATACAGACAAAACAATATGTACCTATACAGACAAAGCGATATGTACCTATACAGACAAAACAATACGTACCTATACAGACAAAACAATACGTACCTATACAGACAAAACTAGTCATACCTATAGAAACAACACAATACGTACCTATACAAACAAGATGATACGTACCTAGTATTTGTAGAAATTGTCTTGCTCTGATAAGAATGCGTTTGCTTTTCTTATAAAATGAGATAAACAATATTGAAATTTTAGTTGTGAGAAATCAGTTGAGCAACATGTTTCTATTTAAACTATTTTCTTTACTGAGTGTTGCGGCGGCAGCCGGAGAATGGCCAGCCTTGAAGACTACTTGGGGATTCAATATTTTTGGATCAGCTTTCCATGATCGCCCAAGAACTGTTACAGAAGCAGAAAAGGCTGGATGGACCTTAATAGGATCCTGTAATGAACAATGGTTAGGACACCGATATGCTGATCCTGCAGATCCCTCTCTACTCATGATCTATGATGATGCTGGATATATTGCTGGTGTTCAGTCTGGTCTTCTAAAATCTGATGTAGATGAATCTGTTGGAAACTTTGCCAATCTCCCAATCTACCAATCCGGAGACTTTTTTGGAGAGCCAGCTTACTTTACTACAGCATACTTTGTCGACCCTGATGTGATCTGCAATGGGGGCAGGACGGAGTCGGATTTCAATACATTTGGCACCGGAGACAGACTTCTCTTTCAGACTGGAGCCACTCCTGACCAACTATACTCAGCTCCTCTAACTCAGGATGAAGCTGATGCTAGCCCTGACTGGTATGACCATTACTGTTTCCTTGGTATGGGTGATCATTACATGCAATTTGATTACACCCCAGAGCAAGATTGTACATCTGTTTTCCCAATTCAGATTCTTTATGACCAGGGTGTTTTGAATGGATTTGTTTGGCAGCATATTGCCAGTCTTCCTGGAGATAAATGGGAGCATCCTGATATAACTGCTGTTGGAGCAATCATTGACCGGCCACCAACCTGTGTTCTTGAGCTGGTTGAATATCCTGGACTTTCAACCATGCATCATTACTTCTACTCCTACCCTTGGTTGGTTCTCTGTCCTCTTAAACATGACAGGGGAAGCATAAATGGATATAAAAAAGTTATGAAAATGTAATTTTTAGCTCTACGATTTTTTATTATTATGTTAAATAAAAATGGTCCGGGAATATTTTGGTAGATCATACTGAATATATCAAACAGGAAGTGTTCATTTAAAACATTTTTATCTTCAACATTTGATGTGCCGAGTCAAAGAGTTCTTTTAGATACTACAGTCCTTGTCATTAATAGATTTTTTATATATTTTTGAACATTTTTTAAATTTACGCAAGATTTCCAATTGATGGACACCTAAAAGAGGTTTCTAACACAATAATTAAGGAAATAATATCAGTTTGAAGTTTGCCACGTTGGTTTGGTTGAAATTGATGTCGAGATAAATGAAAAGTGAAAGAAAAGTTTATCTTTTCTTTATGTATCTTTATGTATAAAGTTGTAATCTCTGTTTGTCTGTCTGTTTGTTTTTTGTCCGATCATAACTCAGGAACCCCTGGACCGATTTTCCTCAAAGTTTGATTGGGAAACTAAGGAAACCCACAGGAATGTTCTTAGCTTAGTTTTGAGATGCTGAATGGAGTAGATCAACTTCTATCGGGAAAAATAGTTAAAATAGAATTTACGACAAAGCGCGGGTAATCAGTGGGACTAACCTGGACCCCCCTGAGCATCTCTGGGTTCCCAAGCTAGTATTTTATAAATTAACATATACCAAAAATACAAAAAGCATTAATATTGATTTAAATGAATTTTACTAGTTCTTCATGCTACTTTAATTATACTTGTTTATTCTGAATGTTTTTTCCCGTATAATAATTTTTAAAATAATTTTACAATTTTTAGACCCAAATATAATCCTATAGAGGAAGTGAGTCAGATAAAATATAAAAACCAAACCATAATGGGAGTGCCGTAGTAATTTATAGCTAGTGAAAGGTCTGCGACATCAGATTGATTTAAAATTTCGGTGATGGTGATGGACCAAACCTCTGTAGAGCAAAAAAGTAGATGTTAGTTCCACATTTATTGAAAATATATTTCGGTCTGGGTTGACCCTCGTCAGTTCTAACGATATAATAACCATCAAAATCGATAAAAAAAAATATAAAAAAGGTTTGTTAAAAATCACAAGAAAATAAACAAACAAAAAAGATTATTCAAAATAAAAATTTGGGCTGTCAAATGGACATAAGGGAAACGAACTCAGATTATCAGATGGAAAAAAGATAATTTGCAAATATTCACTTTTGAAAAAAATGTTTTATATTGATATAAGGATCATAAAATTAGAGATTAAGAAGAGCAATCAGCTCCTCAGAATTTACCCCAAACAATTTTAAAACTCGTAATTACTAAAATAAAATAAGAAAGAAAAAAAATTTTTTTTGCTTTTTAATTTTTTGCGATTTCAATGTTTGCATGTAACCTGTATTGCCTGTATACAAATAAAATTTATAATTGAAATATTGAAATATGAGCTATTTAATGGGAATGTTTTCAAAATAATAGTGTGCTAAATAACGTTTTCGTTTAAATATTAAATACAAATATCAAAAATATTTCCACAATATTATATTTTCAGCTCAGATGACATTAAAAATTTTCAAAATTACGAAAAAGCTATAAATGTTTTTGAGTCAGAGGACTCCAAACAGATAAATGATATCTGCATTACAGGACAAAAGGAAGAAACTCTAACTTCCTTATAGCCTAAACTTTAAATTTTTGAACCTGATTTAAGGTTTTAATTTCGTAATTTTAATTAATACAGCGGTTCATATGAAAATTTAGACTACAAGGATGGTTTTTAGACTAAAAATATTATTTAAAATTTTCCATTGAACATTGTTTTGATTGTAAAGCTTCACAGGGTTACCCACAAAAAAAAGTGACTGTAAAGACGACCCAAAACTATTAAAATATGACGATTCCAAGGTTAAATTAAGTCTTCTGCCTGAAATATAGTACTTGAATGGCTTTAAACATATTTAACAAAGAAAGAAACAAGTTTACAATTCCAGGGAATTCTGAAGAATTGAAGCAGACAGTACAAATTCTGTACAAACGTCTCAAATGTCTCATTATTTGCTTTATGACATCATCAATATTAATTCCATAGTTTTGTTTGTGTATCACAGTGATAATAAAGCATTATAGACACAATTACACTTAAGCTCTCTTTCTACAAGGTGTCTGTGAAGTATGTTTATAACGAATAAAGCATTATAGACACAATTACACTTTCTACAACGTGTCTTTAAAAACAAATGTGTTTAAGGTTTTTAGCCCGTTTCATTTTATATGCTTAAAAGTGTTTAGTAGTTTAGTAGGTACAATGTTGAACCCTATATCCATACCACTTTTTAATACAATTAAACGACGTTTATTAGGCGAAACAGCTTAAACACACAATACTACGACGTTCTCGTTTCTAAACAAAGTTTTGAAGGATAAACTATATATACTGCTTTTCGGTTTGTCTGTTCGTTTGTATCCAATAAACGTCAAAACAGCTGCACCGATCGGGCCCAAATTTTTTGTGAGACTTCACTTGGCCCAAGTGAAGGTATATGGATGCATACTTTTAAAAAGTTGCATCATGTAACTGTTGATTTTAGGAAATTTTCAAAATGCATGAAAAAATATTTGAAAATCCGCAAATTTTGTGTGGGATGATCAAATTTTCAAAAATTAGCCTTCATTAAACATCGATTTTTATTAAAATTTGAAAATCCCCAAATCTTTTTTTTAAATCTGCAAACTTCTTGTTCTGTATTTGTGAAAATGTTCACAATTCAAATAGAAGATGGGCGCAAATTGCCCTATTAGCCTAGTATATTGCAATCAAAGAAGTTAAAATCTACTTGATATGGCGGGGGCATATACAAGATATTTCTGGGAAGGGGGTGGGGAGCTTAACCTTTTTTGACATTTTAATTCGCCGGGAGCTGAATCTCTCCAGAAAATCATAGCCCCTCCCCCTGAAAACGGCCGGCCCTGACGAAAACATTTATTTTTAAAAATAATTTAAAAATAGATTTATTTGATAAGTATTAACATATAATTACATAAGCATAAAAACTATAATTACTTGTGCAAATATGAACTAAGGTGGTTTACATTTACATTATTTTTTATCATACTTGGCAGCATTCAGTTTATCAAAGGAACTGTCGTTGCAATTTCAAGTGACCCTCCAGTTAAAGAGGGTCATCTCCGATTAACAACGATACCCTTTAAATTTTTATTGGATCATAAATGTGAAAGATATCATCGTTTTTCTAACTTGAAAACTTGTAAAATCTCAAAATTTGTCTTTTTGTTTCATCCTGGTCCGCAACTCACTTTTATAGAGAAACCACAATTGAAAATTACTCTTTGTATTTATGTATGGATATCTCATTCATTCTTTATCAAACAAAGCTTTTAAGGGCACCGTTGTGAATCGGACATTGCAACTGTATAAATTAAGTTTACGGTTTATAGTCCCTTTAAGAGGTTGGATTTGATTAAAGGGAATGTATCTAAGTTTATTAAGTTTATTACAAAATATGCACATTGAACATTTGCGCAGGTCTAGTTTCATTAAATTTAGGAGAAAAAACGAGATATGTTATGTAATAGTTTAATAAAAATAACGGAGATTTTGGACAGTCAGAGAATTTGGCCTTTATTTGATCATTTGAATAAAATCGGAACTAAATTCTCAATTTTCTCTAATTTCAGAGGTATTCAAAAGGTTGAGAATCCGAAGCCGCGTAGGACTGGGATTTTCTTTTTTAATTGTCTTAAGTAAACATAAATCCGAGTGTCCAATTGTTTTTATCACAAACATATTTTCGCTGTTAAATATTTCCATCATTTGTCCAAGTATTCTCTGTTTGAGAAGTTAACAATGATTTCTTCTTCAACTCTCAGATTGCTGTATCTAAACACAAGAAAGAATCAAAAAAATAAGATATAAGGTGAGAGGAATAGGGTTTGCTTACACAGTATATCCTAATTTTAAATTCAGGACCAAAACCAATTCTATTTTACCGGATACCGTTACGCTCTCTGAAGTATTCGGAACCTTCCGGATATTGGACCAACTCGACCAACAAATGAGAAAATATGTATGTATGAATTATAGCAAATAGATCGTCCAATTTATAAAAAAGATAAAGTTTAACAAACCAAAAATGGATTAAAGTAATTGAGCCTTTGCCACAAATTGTAATTTTCTAATATCTACATCTTTGCAACCAAATGTCGGATATCTTAGATATTTAAAATTAATTAATACTGTTAGATTAAATAATCTGAGTTTAAAATATCAAAAGTTTACACCATAAGGGTGCAAAGATAAAGGATTTAGAAAATTTGGGTTTGTGGCAAAGACTAAAATCCTTTGTATTTGATGAGATTCCTGAAATACAATAATCATGTGTTTTTTTAACGCTAGATTAAAATGGACTTAATTATTATAAATACAAAGACACTTAGTTCGGTTTTTGTATTCCTAATTCCAAAGTTTGAATAATCATGAGTATTCTGAAAAAGGTTGGATATTCATGAGTATTCTGAAAAAGGTTGGATAATCATGAGTATTCTGAAAAGGTTGGATGATCATGAGTATTCTAAAAAAGGTTGGATAATCATGAGTATCCTGAAAAAGGGTTGGATAATCATGAGTATTCTGAAAAAGGTTGGATAATCATGAGTATTCTGAAAAAGTTGAATAATCATGAGTATTCTGAAAAATATGGAAATAAATAACAATGATTTCGTAAGTCCTGTCCCATTATCTTAATACAGAATTCATGGTAATTTTACCGCTCTTTCGAATATGTTATACTTCACGGAGAACAAAATAATAATCTGGTTACTTTTGATTTTTTACAATTTAAAAAAAATAAACCTTTCTGATGAGTTTCCATATTTATCCGAGAGTGCCAGAGATTCAGATCTAAAGAAATATATGTTTAATTGTAATATACTTTTTGAAGTTTTATGACTTTTAATGTTTTTTGTTAATTTTAATGTTAGTAGACCTATACCTAGGTCTAGGTCTAGGTATTCAACCTGGATTTAGGTCTAGGTCTAGGTATCCAACCTGGATTTAGGTCTAGGTCTAGGTATCCTACCTGGATTAAGGTCAAGGTCTAGGTATCCTACCTGGATTTAGGTCTAGGTCTAGGTATTGAAAGATCATATTCATCTCTACTCTCATCAAATCTATTCTCAGTTACGACCTAAACGACGACGAATGTTTCTAAAAATTGCTTTAAAACATTTTATGTTTTAAACCTTCTTCATTGTTTTTCTTCATAGCAATGGTCCAGACTGAAGTAGTCAATATCAGATATAAGGATACATAGCAAGAGCGCATGATATGTTTTCTTAAAATTTATTTTAAAGTGCATGGCATCGATTATTCACGGGAAGAAAGCTGCTCAGATGTTTGCAGCCTGGTTTTCCAATAAGTTGACCTACACAACAGAGAACTTTAAACCAAACTTAGAACATTTTAACGTGTTCCCCTATCAAAATTTAAGGCAAATCGGTCCAGGGTTTCATGAGCATATGCTCGTACATCCAAACAAACAGACAAACAGATTACTACTTTATATATAAAAGTATATGACAAAATTCATCATGGTAAATTCTGAAATTGGGTTCAAAGCTTGATGTATCCACATTTTTCTAAAAAGGAAAAATACTCTTTTTTTTTAGGGAAAAATTCATTTTTAGGAAATCCGACATGGTAATTGTTACACTTCGACCTAAATTGTAACAATTTTCTTTTTGTTTCAGTATTTTTGTGATTAATCTTATAAACAAATTTCTTTCCAAAGAAGTTTAACCTGAGATTAAAATTTTTGTGTTGTAGATTTCTAGATCAAGAAGTTATTGCAATTCTGCGGAATTATTTAAGTCCAAGGCACGGAAAGTGATTATTCCGTGTGTACTATGTACTGTATACTGACTTTCTCTGACTGGACCAGTACCCTGATTATTTACTCTTGGATCAAGCACTTTTAATTTAGAAGTTGTCACAGCGGATATCGAAATCAAGCTTTATAGATCCTAGAAGTTTTGACCTCCTTTATAACTCTTTTTACCTCTATTTCATGTCCCCTCTCTGTAGAAATGTTCTCTATGGATGTATTCTCTTCTCTGTAAATGTTCTCTATGGAAGTATCCGGATCCAGGGAGATATCTCTAGAGTTCTTTTTAAACCTTCTCCTTGTTCCATCTTCATGGTAATCTTCTCCCTCAGAGTAATCCTCTTCGTCCCTGATCCAATACAAAATATTAAATAAATCTAATGTCCAGTACTGGTTTTAGGGTAATTTGCAACCCCGTTTCTCGTGATCATTTTACCATTAAAAACTTTTTCTGTTCAATAATGGAGTCAATTGTAAACATAAATAATCTTTCAAGTTGGAAAAACGACGATATTTTCCATCTTACTAATCAGATACAGGCTTCAGGGTGCCTTTGTGAATCGGGCATTTACCTTTTAAATGAAGAGTCGTACATTAAACGACATTATAACCCCCTTGTGTACATTACATTCAGGACAAAAAGTACATAAATATTTCACAATTAACTTAGAACTTACTCAACCTTACCATTTAAAAGCCCGCTCAAAAGAAAAATACATAATCTATATATATATAAATAAATATATAAATACCAATGAACTGTAAATGATAAACTGATAAGTATGTCGAGTAGGTACCTTGTGTCCCAATTTGTAAATGATAAACAACTGATGAGTATGTCGAGTTAGTACCTTGTGTCCCAATCTTTAAATGATAAACTGATGATTATGTCGAGTTAGTACCTTGTGTCCCAATCTGTAAATTATAAACTGATAAGTATGTCGAGTTAGTACCTTGTGTCCCAATCTGTAAAACTTCGTTCTCCACTGGGTAGTCCTTCACTCTCATATGCTGCAACAGACTGAATATCTGGATGTCTATCACTTTCATATGCTTCAACAGACTGCATGTCTGTCTGTCTATCACTTTCATAGACACCTGCCCCGTACTTTTCGGACAGGGACATGCTATCCGAATGTCTTTCTCTGTAGCTCTAAAATAAAAAAGGTTTTTTTCGGATGTTAGACCTCTAATACAGGATTACTCTCCAAGGATAAGACTGTAAAGACGACGAAAAACTCTTCTAATATGACTATTTAATATAAATTCCGTAGAGTCGTCTCTAAAATCTATTTCTTTGTGGTTAACCCTGTAACTAATCAAACAAATTACTGCATTTTGGGACGTTAACTATTTTCATTATAACATCTCAGGGGGATCTGGTTCATATAAACAAAAATAACACTAATTTCATCAAAAATTGCAAAACCACTTAGCAATTTTTTCTGTAATTTTAAATTTATCTTGGAAGCTTCCATACCACAAGGGTTTAAGTTTTTGAAATCATGAAGATAAAAATTTTAGTATTATATATATGGAGATTGCAGTGATTCTGATTCATGATCGATAAAATCTTAAACCATCATCAACGGGTTTTGTGCTGAAACTTTAAAAATTGTGTAGTTAAGATTTAGACTAAGAGTTTAGGATCGTCTATCTAATCTCTATGATGAAAAACAAATAAAATCATTGTTTGGTATTATTATTGTTCAAGTTAACAAACTAACATAGGACATTTCTTAGGAAATTATTTTGAAGTGTATTGAACGTTATCTAACGAGACCGTTAACAAACGAAAACCCCCAATATTTACCGTTAACGACCAATAAAGACCGTTAACGAACATATTAATAGTTCGATTGTGCCCAGGCATGTCTTTAACGAACTTGTTGGAATTTAATTTTATTGTAATCTATCTATCTATATATATTGTTCTCTTATATAGACTAGGTCAAGGTAGTTTATTAAAGGGACTGTCAACGTAACTTCAAGCGACCATCCAAATCAAGAGAGTCACATTTGTTTGAGAACAATTTTGAAGAAATGACTTGAGGTTGTTCGCAGCGGAGAAAGAAGGAAATTTACAGAATTAATCTCTTTTAGAAAACTGACGATATCTTCCGTTTGTTATATTTAAAGGGTACAATCCGTGGTCTAGAATTTACCTCTTTAAATGGACGGTTACTTGAATTACGTTTACATTCCCTTTAACAAGGAGAAAAGTGTGGACATTCCCATTAACAAGGAGAAAAGTGTGGACATTCCCTTTAACAAGGAGAAAAGTGTTAACATTCCCTTTAACAAGGAGAAAAGTGTGGACATTCCCTTTAACAAGGAGAAAAGTCTAGACATTCCCTTTAACAAGGAGAAAAGTGTAAACATTCCCTTTAACAAGGAGAAAAGTGTAAACATTCCCTTTAACAAGGAGAAAAGTGTAAACATTCCCTTTTCCGAAAAAGTTGTAAAATTGAGTTAGGAATTTACAAAGTTAAACTCTGTAGAAACTTGAAACAATAGTTTGGGTGCGGCCTGAAGGGCGGGGAAAATACCCGGCCTGGGGTGGGGAGGGGGAGGGGCTCCAAATATTTTGGAAATATTGAAAATTGATTTATTGACATATCATGGAGATACACATCTTTTCAGCTAACGAAACTTACCAGATATCATAAAGGTGTGCTCGGAGTCTAAATCATAATAAACTCACTCAATATATAATCCTTTAACCATATATACTAAGTGTATCACCCCAGTTTGTTCTATTTAAAGGAATTGAGTCTTTGTCACAATCTCTGATTTTCTAATCCCTATAACTTTGCAACCCAAAGTCGTAAACCTTAGATATTTCAAACTATGAATGTTTTTAGACAAACAATCTAAGTTTGAAATATCAAAGGTTTACATGATCAGGTTGCTAAGATATTGGCATTCGAAAATATGAGTTTGTAGCAAAGACTCAAATCCTTTAATCACATGTTCGTTATAATTCAACAATCTTTAAACTTACAAAGAATTGTCTTTTTTAGAATTTTTCGTTAAAAATTCATATGCCGACAAATAAGAAGAACGGAAAAAAGCGAAAAAATATATTTAATAAATCAACTTTTGATCGAAGATAACAATCCACGTGGTATATATATATATATATATATACCCACAAAGGATTTGCCTTTAATGACGACCTTTGTTGGTAACCCTAAATGACCAAAAATTTGAACAATTAAAGTTAAACTTTTTTTTGGAATATCATAGAATACCTGAGAATCTCCAGATTTTGATCTTGAACGACTCGAACTTTTCCGAGATCTATTAAACAACAAAATTAACTCAAGAGATAGCAATTTATTATTAAAAAGGATGGTTCAGTTAAAAAAAAAATGTGATCTTCTTGTGTTACCTGCTCGTCTCCCTGGACTGCTGAGGTGTATTGTGTTACCTGCTCGTCTCCCTGGACTGCTGAGGTGTATCCAGATACCTGTAATGAAAAGTGTGTAGGTCATAAACCAACATTACATTATTTTTTATTCAGTTTCTTTCTTTTGCAAAACAGACACATTGTACTTTCTAATCTCTTTAGCTCACTGCAAACCAAGATGTACACGCTCTTACGCTAAAATCATTCAGTATTTTGCTAATTACTACTTTTAAACTTAAGAAGGATAAAGCGTGTTTCATTTATAAAATTTATATGTCTAGGGCTACAAAATGTATAAGTGAGTTAGTGAGGTAAACCAAATGCTAAGGGCTGCTACACTTTAAAACGAGGTTGTCTAAAAATTATGACTAACTTGTGATCTTGCAACCTAATGATGTAAACATCTGATATTTAAATATTAGCTTTTTATTAGTTTTTCATAAACAAAAAGTTTTTTGGTAAATTAACTCTTACTTTCTAATCTCTTTATTTTGCAACCAGATTGTAAACAATTTTTATATTTTAAACTTTGACTATAAAGTAAGTATAATGGTCACAGAAAAACTAAACCATTTTTTAATGTATAATTATAATTGTTCTTTTAGATGTTTTAAAGATTGCAGATTTTTGAAGGGGGAGGGGGGTCTTGATCTTATAAAATTACTCTATTTATGTGGTTTATTGCAAAATACTACATAGATAATTTAAAATGCAGACATAATATTTTTGAACAAAAATAATATTGTTCACATTGCATTTCATATTCTGACCTAAAAAGAGTATTACCGAAGCTTGAAATGGGATAAAGTTTGATCCCTCATACTTAATCAGGGTGGTATTCTTGAATAATTGTTCAGGGGGGGGGGCTTTATTTTTTTTTCCCAGGGGGACTTAACACCTTTTGGGGCCTGAAAACCCTCTATAAAACACTATATTTAACTTATCCAGGGGAGGGATTGATTGCTGAGCCCCCATGCCACCCCCCACCCCCTCTAGAGTACGCCTCTGATCCCATTTTTGTAAAAAACAAATGAATATTAAACTATTTCACTGCAATTCAAAAGTTCATTTGGCTAATCATGAATAAATGAGTTATCCAGGTTATGATATCTCCTTAAAAAATTGGTTATTTTTGTGGTTTCTCTAAAAAAACTGACTTGCGGATTTCTTGCTGTAGAAACAATGAATGAAATGTGAATTGTGCATGGTCCTCTATAAATGGAGAATTATTTGAAATCACAACAAGAGTTCTTTTAAATTCATCTACACAGGAAAAGAAATGAGAAAAGGGTTGGAAAAACTCCACCATTGATATTAACTTGATATCAAATTGATATTAAATATTTCCCTTCAATACAAAAGTTTATTTGGCTAATCAAAACGAAATGAGATTTCCATTATATCACTTTTCAAAATTGATAGGATCATTTGAAATTACAATGATAGTCCATTAAAATTCATCTACACAGGAAAAGAAATGAGAAATAGGATTTTAAAAATCTCCGCCATCTTGTATTTCTGTACCTTGGATCTATCTGCTGCAGGAAGGCTGGATCCCAGGTAGAGGTTGGTGGCTGTAGAGCCCAGATAGGCAAAGGAACATCCCAGCTGTGAGGTTCAGGAGTGTACACAGTTGCAGGGACAGCTACACCCATAGATTTTACTTTTCTTACTAGAACAAAATTAACATTAGAAATATAATTACCAAGGTTTTCTGCATTTTTTCTGTTTAAAATAGGGATTATATCAGCGTAATTTTTCCCGCCATGCAATGCCCGATTTACAACGGTAACTTTAAAATATTTGACCGTTCAATGTTCATCAAGGACAAAGAGCTCTAGTTGAATATTTCTCAACAATGTTTGAATTGCCGTAAAACAAGAGTGTACGCTAGCGTACAGTGTAAACCCAAAACAGCTGATGTTTCGTGTGTCCCTCGACAATACCAAATCTTTTATGGCCAAGGCGGTTTTCAAAATTTCAAAAGTAAATATTAATATTTCTTAAATATTAAACAACAAACAATATCAAGCGTTTCTGCAGTTAATAAGGATAAGTCCAAGATTAGTCCGACATCCTTGATCAGTTAAAGGTTTAAAGTTTACTGTTGTGAATCCTTGATCAGTTAAAGGTTTAAATGGTACTGTTGTGAATCCTTGATCAGTTAAAGGTTTAACGTGTACTGTTGTGAATCCTTGATCAGTTAAAGGTTTAAAGTGTGCTTTTGTGAATCGGACCCGCCGCTCTACAAATGGAGGGTCACTTGAATTACACGCCTAAAGTCCCTTTAATCTGTTTAATTATTAATAATCACCTTTCCTCCTGAAAATAGTGAACAATCTGACCACAACTATCCAGAAGGAAGCTGTGATAAGGATGAGGGGAGCTACGACCAAGAACAATAAAATCTAAAATATTCAAATTATCAGATGTCCATTTTTAAAAGTATTAAACCACTAATAATTTCCAAAAATGTTCCTTTTTGAACCCCTGTGATTTGCCCAATATTTTCCCACTTTTAAACCACAATATTTACCCCCCCCCCCCCGGCCCCCCTGAACCTGTAGATTTCTGTCAAATTTCTATCCACTGTTAAACCACTGTGAATCGTCCAACATAACCCCCTAGATAAACTACTGTGAATTATCCAGCATATACCACATTATATATTGTTACGCGAGCCATGCTGCGTGTATGAAGTCTATGTGGTGCCCCTGTGAATTTCTGAGTTCTCCCTGAGGATCTGTACAGAACGTATTGTGAAAGAACTAGTTTAGGAGAAGTTTACAGACTGACTACACAGGCGCAAGATTTCTCGCGTGAGAGTGAACAGTTTTATATTAGTATATGTTTATTTGTCTTGCAAGTGTAACCGTGTCCAGAATTCTAGGATCACTGTGGTAATTATTTCTTATATATATACGTATGCTTATCGGTTGATTATATTATGATTGATATTTATATATGTGTTTGTTGGTTCCTTGCCACAGTTTTTTAATGCCTGAGTGGATTATTTGTTGTATTCGTATGATTTATCACTCAAAGCTTTTTCTGTGGGTTTATTAAACTTATTTAGATTGAAGACTCAGAGAAATAAACGTTATTATCATCCTTTTGTTATGAAGAGCGTTGAGAGAAGGAAGTCTTACGATCTGGTCTTGAGAAATACCACACGGTACATATATTAGGTCTTTAGGGAAATCGCTAAGTAGCGAAACATATATATTATACTAGCTGAAGAGCCCGGCGTTACCTGTAGAAAAAAAACTATAAAAGAAAAAAAACCACCTACCCATGAGTGTCCACCAAAAATGTCAGCCCAATCGGTCCTGCCGTTTGGCCGGCTATACGCAACATATATAAGAATGTGTTGTTTTATTATATAAAAAAAAAATATTATACTTTATATTATTGTCTTATATATATTCGCCCCTGCTTAACCACTGTAAATAAATTATGAAACATATGTGTCCACTTGTTAAACCAATGTGAATAAGACCAGGAAATCATAACATGAGTCCTTACAAAGGATTTTGAAGATTTGGATACCTCACTACTTAATCTCTACATTGTAATAGTAGACTATTGTTAAACATATCTATACGTTTAACCCCTTCTTATGCTATTGCAATACAGGGCTAGGGTGTTTCAAAGCTGAAGTAATCATAAGAAATATAAAGAGTGAATCAAAGATAAAGTAATCATAAGTAATATAAGAGAAGGTTGAATCAAAGATAAAGTAATCATAAGAAATATAAGAGAAGGTTGAATCAAAGATGAAGTTGTTTTGTGGGTTTTGAGTTCTGAGTATTCTCTCTGGTTTAAAAAGGGGAAAACCCAGCCTACTTTATCAGGACCCGGAGTAATATTATGGAACNAATCATAAGAAATATAAGAGAAGGGTGAATCAAAGATAAAGTAATCATAAGAAATATAAGAGAAGGGTGAATCAAAGATAAAGTAATCATAAGAAATATAAGAGAAGGGTGAATCAAAGATAAAGTAATCATAAGAATTATTAAGGGTGAATCAAAGAGATAGAAAACATCTTTTCCACTTTTCCCAATTAGCATCCTGCCTTAACCATATCACGGTGTGTTCATCCCATCCTGTGGTTTTTTTCTGAATAACTTAAAAACAGCTGACATTAGAACCTCTTCACTTTATTAACTTCATGGTTGTGAACTAATTTTGCTTCAATTTTGTTTTATGCATGTAGAGTAAATGACGGTCAAACGGCGCGCGCGGGTCGATGTTTCAAAAAATCCGAAATGGTCAATAACTTTTCTTATTAATTAAGCTACAGTGCTAAAATTTATATATTTGAAAAGCCCTTAAAAATGAATGTAATAACTAATAACATGTGTCACATGTTTATATTCGTCAAAAGTAGAATAAACTATTTTTGAATATTTTTCGACATACTTTTAAAACTTTTTTTAAATCCTCCCTTGATGCACCCAAACCATTAAAGTAAGAGGTCTAATTTTTGTTTAATGAGCAGGCCTTGAAAAGTTGGATTAGGGACATGTATCACATTCCCCTATCTCAACTCTAAGGGCAAAACCATAATTTTAAGGGGATCCCCCCCCCCCATCCATATTAGACCAAAATCGGGACAAATAAGAATTCCACCTTAAACCAGAAATTTGGTCTAAGTAACTAAGTATTCTACCTTAAACCAGAAATCTGGTCTGAGTAACTAAGTATTCTACCTTGAACCAGAAATCTGGTCTAAGTAACTAAGTATTCTACCATAAACCAGAAATCTGATATCTGAGTACGTAACTAAGTATTCTACCGTAAACCAGAAATCTGGTCTAAGTAACTAAGTATTCTACCTTAAACCAGAAATTTGGTCTGAGTAACTAAGTATTCTACCTTAAACCAGAAATTTGGTCTAAGTAACTAAGTATTCTACCTTAAACCAGAAATCTGATCTGAGTAACTAAGTATTCTACCTTGAACCAGAAATCTGGTCTAAGTAACTAAGTATTCAACCATAAACCAGAAATCTGATATCTGAGTAACTAAGTATTCTACCATAAACCAGAAATCTGGTCTGAGTAACTAAGTATTCTACCTTAAACCAGAAATCTGGTAAAAGAACCATCAGATAGACCAAAAGAGCTGCTGCGAACAGGATATAGACTAAACAATAAAAAAATTGAAAAAGTATAAATAACTTTGAAACTTTTTTGGGACTCAATAATTCCCTAAAACTCCATTTGTCAAGTATGTCATGTACCATGTATCCTGATATTATAACCCTTTGATATCTGAAACTGTGGCTATTTGATCTAACAGTAGCAGGATTCATAGTTTGAAATATCTAAGGTCTCGTGGGATGCAGAGGAGGTATATGGTTTAGAAAAATAAAGTTTGAGGTTCTGATCCTTTCTGGGCGTGTTACAATGCACAATTACTGTGTTACATGCTTTTTGGACTATAGTCATATCTGAAGTCTAAAAGTCGTATTTCTATTCCACAATTTTCTGGTTCTCACTTGTGCATACATATATTTGTGTCCTTGGGTTGGGTTTCTATAGAGACGTATCAGGGGCAGTCCTAAGATTTAATCTGTTTAGTCAATAACTTTCCCACTATATGGTCGTGCAACTCCATTTATATTTTGTATTTAGAAAATGTGTATTCAAACATTCTAGGAAACATACCTGCACACAGTTTTCTAATCTACTCAGTTTACAGGGCTCTCCGCACCCATCTTTCTGATAACAATCTTTAGATTTTTGTTGCTGACTAATCTGCCAGCTTTTTATACAGTAATAGCGATAAATAATTTCGCAGACTTCTCTGTTTCATGGCGAATGGCTCTGAACCTTACCAGTATATTACATAGATATCCAAGTATCCAGGGTAGGAGAAGAAGTGATATCCTGAATAAAGCTCCGAACCCTGCCAGTATATTACCTAGATATCCAAGTATCCAGGGTAGGAGGAGAAGAGATCTCCTGAATATATCTCCGAACCCTGCCAGTATATTAGAGATTATGAGAACCACGTTCACAGTTATTGGTAGAGCCAGATATTTCTGATCACCCNAGGAGGAGAAGTGATCTCCTGAATATAGCTCCGAACCCTGCCAGTATATTACCTAGATATCCAAGTATCCAGGGTAGGAGGAGAAGAGATCTCCTGAATATAGCTCCGAACCCTGCCAGTATATTAGAGATTATGAGAACCACGTTCACAGTTATTGGTAGAGCCAGATATTCTCCGGAATTCTAAATAAAAAAATTACAATTTAAAGAAAATGATAACGTTCCTCAAACTCTAATTTTATATCTTTGCAACATAATTGTGCAAGCTCTTGATATTTCAATCTAGCAGAATCGAAGTCAGGTCGCAAAGATGTAAGAATTTCAAAATTAGAGTTAAAGGCAAGTAATCAGTTCGTTTAGACTTCTTGGTATTTTATATAATAGTCTTCGTAGAAAGAGTTCGGTCATAACTTTAAATTCAAGTTTAAACGATGATTACTTGACTCAAACTAAAAATTCAAAAGTTGCATATCTTTGCAACCCTATGGTGTTAAAGACTGCAAACTTTGACGTCGATCTTTTAGATCAATGAGTCTCTTTGATCATTGAGTAAAAATTATTAGAATACTCAAAAACCCCGCGGTTAGGTATTTTATCCTTATTCTTTTATTTTATTGGATTTAAAGTGAACTATTTTGCCTCGAAAACACAATAGTTTTTGTAAAATTCGGTTATTTGAGTTTTCAAATTTACTCTACAGAGTACATAGCACAGATACATAGTTTGATTCTGAATTAGAAAATATTTATACAATCATGCAACAGTTAAGTTAGGAGCTAGTATATCGTAAACTGTATGTAAGGTAGGAGCTAGTATATCGTAAACTGTATGTAAGGTAGAAGCTAGTATATCGTAAACTGTATGTAAGGTAGGAGCTAGTATATCGTAAACTGTATGTAAGGTAGGAGCTAGTATATCGTGAACTGGTATGTAAGGTAGAAGCTAGTATATCGTGAACTCTATGTAAGGTAGAAGCTAGTATATCGTGAACTGTATGTAAGGTAGGAGCTAGTATATTGTGAACTGTATGTAAGGTAGTAGCTAGTATATCGTGATTATATCGTGAACTGTATGTAAGGTAGAAGTTAGTATATCGTAACAGTATGTAAGGTAGAAGCTAGTATATCTTGAACTGTATGTAAGGTAGGAGCTAGTATATCGTAAACTGTATGTAAGGTAGGTGCTAGTATATCGTGAACTGTATGTAAGGTAGGAGCTAGTATATTGTGAACTGTATGTAAGGTAGGAGCTAGTATATTGTGAACTGTATGTAAGGTAGGTGCTAGTATATCGTGAACTGTATGTAAGGTAGGAGCTAGTATATCGTGAACTATATGTAAGGTAGGAGCTAGTATATCGTGAACTGTATGTAAGGTAGAAGCTTGTATATCGTGAACTGTATGTAAGGTAGTAGCTAGTATATTGTGAACTGTATGTAAGGAAGGAGCAAGTATATCGTGAACTGTATGTAAGGTAGGAGCTAGTATATCGTGAACTGTATGTAAGGTAGAAGCTAGTATATCGTGAACTGTATGTAAGGTAGTAGCTAGTATATTGTGAACTGTATGTAAGGTAGGAGCAAGTATATCGTAAACTGTATGTAAGGTAGGAGCAAGTATATCGTGAACTGTATATAAGGTAGGAGCTAGTATATTGTGAACTGTATGTAAGGTAGAAGCTAGTATATTGTGAACTGTATGTAAGGTAGAAGCTAGTATATTGTGAACTGTATTTAAGGTAGGAGCTAGTATATCGTGAACTGTATGTAAGGTAGGAGCTTCTATATAATGAACTGTATGTAAGGTAGGAGCTTCTATATAATGAACTGTATGTAAGGTAGGAGCAAGTATATCGTGAACTGTATGAAAGGTAGAAGCTAGTATATCGTGAACTGTATGTAAGGTAGGAGCTAGTATATCGTGAACTGTATGTAAGGTAGAAGCTAGTATATCGTGAACTGTATGTAAGGTAGAAGCTAGTATATCGTGAACTGTATGTAAGGTAGAAGCTAGTATATCGTGAACTGTATGTAAGTTAGGAGCTAGTATATCGTGAACTGTATGTAAGGTAGAAGCTAGTATATCGTGAACTGTACGTAAGGTAGGAGCTAGTATATCGTGAACTGTATGTAAGGTAGGAGCAAGTATATCGTGAACTGTATGAAAGGTAGAAGCTAGTATATCGTGAACTGTATGTAAGGTAGGAGCTTCTATATAATGAACTGTATGTAAGTTAGGAGCTAGTATATCGTTAACTGTATGTAAGGTAGAAGCTAGTATATTGTGAACTGTATGTAAGGTAGAAGCTAGTATATCGTGAACTGTATGTAAGGTAGAAGCTAGTATATNATAATAATAATAATAATAATAATAATAATAATAATAATAATAATAATAATAATAATAATAATAATAATAATAATAATAATAATAATAATAATAATAATAATAATAATAATAATAATAAGAATAATAATAATAATAATAATGATAATAATGATAATAATTATTATAATAATAATAATAAAAATAATGATAATAATAATAATAATAATAATAAAAATAATAATAATAATAATAACACAGAAGAATATATCTACCTATTTAAGATGAAAATATTGATGACCAAAAGTCCAGTATGAATAAGAAGAAATATTATGGAGATACTTAAAAAAAATAAGTTAAAAGTCACAAATTATAAACAAAACTTTTTTTTCTGATTTTATTTTACCTAATGGTCCATGGTATCAAACCACAGCATTTTCTCCTCTCCATCCTGATCAAATAAAAGAGTTTTAATTATTTACAACATTTTGATTACAAAATGTATGTATGATGTTTTACACTTATTCATAATCTCATTTTTACGACGAAAATGTTAATTTCAAAGACTTGAAATGAAATCTTTATCCTATATTTTAATCAAAAAGTTGTTAAATTGCAATTTAATTTTTGGATACATTCCTTAATTTATGATAAATCAAATTTTTAAAAACACCTTAGCTTATAATTATGCTGTTTTATTTGACGGAATATATTATTTATAATTGTTAATATTCAGAAAAAAAACTTTTCAGATTTATTTTACGTATTTACGTGTATAGATATCTTTACATTCCTTAAAATTTTATGATGAACAAATAACTAAACCAAAAACACGAGACTAAACCAAATCCTTGCATGTGTTTTCAAACCCTCCCACAAAACCACTATTGGGAAAGGGTCGACCAGAACAGTGAAATTGAAATTCATTTTAAAATACAGATTTTAGTAATACAGGGTTTTTAGTAATACAGGGTTTTTAGTAATACAGGGTTTTAGTAATACAGGGTTTTTAGTAATACAGTGTTAGCATGAAAAGACAAACGGTTGAAAATTGAATTATAATTAGGAACTGATTTCTGTTTCAAACACTAGTATTCCAATCCCTTAAATATTTTCAATGTAAAATTTTATATTTTAAACTTTGACTATTAATGGTTTAAAAGTGAATTTAAATTTTTAATATGCGACCAAAAAAAAAATTTGCTTTGCTCATACTTGTGCGTAAAATCAAAACTAGAGAAGTAAAAAGATCACAAACTCGTATCAGTATGTCGCCAAAGTTTCATCTTTTTCTACTTTCATTCATCACAATACAAAAATATTTGGTTCGGGAAATTAGAGTTTGAGACAAATTTAAAGTTCCAATTAGACATTTTATTTCTTCATTGGTTTCAAAATAATTATGGCTAAAGCAGTAAAATTAATTAGTCTTAGGTTCTATAAAATGTATATTCTGAAATAATGCCTGAATTTTGACTAGGGCTTTCATGCGCAATAACGTTTCAGGAAAATAGTTTTCTGTCCTACCAATATGATTCCTTGTTGGAATGCAACAAAATGAATTTTAAATGTGTACAAATAAGTTAGCCAGCTACAGAAAAGGTTTTGCGCTGTTATTGCGCTATTGCGAATTAGAAAGCCCATTTTTTCCTGTTTGAAAATTATGCTTTTTTAAAAAGATTTTAAAAATCTTTTTATAAAAGCATAATTTTCAAGCCTGGTTTAAGAAAATTTTAATTGAGCGTGTGCTAGACAGAAGAAATGTGGGCTAATTTAATATTCCATAAATTAAAAACTTATGAAAGAAGAAATAAAATCAGAATTCGAATATAAAAATTAGAAGAAAAATTTGGCTTGAAGTTAAATATGGAAGGTAAAAAAGCCTGCAATTAAAATGGGAGTCATCTGAAAAGGAAGTGAACAAGTTAACACTAATAACCGGTTAAAAATAAACAGAAAAAGCAAACAAACGTGTTTCAGTCAAGAAAGATATTTACCAGTAAACCCCATTATCATTCTTTACAAACACAATATACACATGGAACATAATATACACATGGAACAGAATATACACATGGAACACAATATACACATGGAACATAATATACACATGGAACACAATATACACATGGAACACAATATACACATGGAACACAATATACACATGGAACACAATATACACATGGAACACAATACACATGGAACATAATATACACATGGAACAGAATATACACATGGAACACAATATACACATGGAACAACTATACACCAATTTCTGTGGAAGGAATTTATTTATAAGCTGAGCGAGTGGGGTTTTGCAATTGTTTATATTCCTCCCAGAAACTGCAGTACACTTTTGATTGTAAACAAAGAATGAAGGTTTCCTGGCAGATCTTTCTTGGGTTAAATATTGCAAACAGTTTGTGTTTTCAACTTGGTCAATATTTGCTGAATTGCATGAAGAATAAGTGGGTATTAAAGAAGAGAGGGTTAATACCGGTTTTCCAGTTTTGGGTTTGAGCATTTAAAATCTGTTGGAAGTGAGGTTTCTTTTCTGCTTTAATACTAAAATAATTGGACCATCGTGAAAGGTTTTATTTCAAAATATCTCGTTTAATCATGAAAAATAAATATAATCGTGAATATTTTGTAACTGTTAATACCTGAAGTCGTGGATACGGGAGGAACTGGATAACACGCCTTTTTTATATTTTAAAATATAAATATTTTCTCTGAAACATTTTGATATTTGGCGAGACCAAGGGTTTCTGAAACAAATGATATAGATAGAAAATTAATCTCTGTTTAGATGTCCGATCTTGACTCATGTACCTCTTGACCGATTTGCCACATATTTTAATTTAATTTTAATAGGAAAAACCCACGGAAAGTTTCCAGACAAAGCTGAGTTCCCAAGCTATTATATTAGAACATAAACTAAACAATTGACTACTTTTAAGTTTGTTACAGTACGAATAATACCCCAACAGTCGAGTTTTTCACAAAATATTTTCAAATATTTTCTGCACGTTACATTTTCCAATATGAGAATCCAAGTGATATTTCAAATTATTCAAAAATAAAAGATATTTCAACATTTACAAATATACAAGCAAATTCGAGTTTCTAGCAAAAACGCCATGGTCTTTTAACAAAAATTCCATGAATAATTCTGTGAAATCTTTACTTATAAATAATACATGCAGATTTTTCACAAAAATCGTATATATATTATTTCCCAAAGCTAATTTTGAACAAGATATTTTTATTTTGTTTAATCTTTGGATATAAAAATATCTTATAAAAATACCTTGTTTGACGTTTCTTACTCTAATACAGTAGTCGGTGATTATATTAATACGATGAAGACGACTTTTTATTAAGAATGCTTTAATCCCTAACAAGGATTTATTAAATTACAAGTTTAAAAGTAAACAACGTGAAGCTGTTTATTTACAACTTCTCTTGTTTACATGTTTATGTGTCTTCTGTTTAAAAGATTGGTATTAAATTCAAAATTGAAATAGAAAGTCGTCTTCATTGTATTGATTTACGACGACAACTGTAACATATTGTATACCTATACAGTGTAGATTGCATATGCCTATATATATGTTCGTTAATACCTAGAAGGAGAAATTCGTAGAAAAGATTAAATCTCTTCATGGCTGGAGCTAATCAATTTCATTCTATTCAGTTATTCAAATCCGAATCCCGCACTCCTCCACCCCTCCCCCCTCTCTCATCTCCAAATTAATCCCATCCCAATTTCATCAATCCTAATTTTCTTTCCACGTTAAAACCATTTCAATTTGATTCCATATTTACCATACATCTATCCAATTCCATTTTATTCGATCCCGAAAAAAACTTCATTCATTCTATCTCAATTATTCTTAAATGCAATGGAACTGTATACTCCATAGAGAGGAGGAACTGTCTACCCCATAGAGTAGGAGGAACTGTATACTCCATAGAGTAGGAGGAGCTCTCTACTCTAAAAAGTACCGGGAGCTGTCTCTTGTAAAGTGTACCCGGAGCTCTCTACTCCAAAGAATATCCGGAGCTCTCTACTGTAAAGAGTACCTAGAGTTCTCTACTCCAAAGAATACCCGGAGCTGTTTACTGTAAAGAGTACCCGGAGCTGTCTACTCGAGTTTTAGTAGCTGTCGACTGGAAAGAGTACCCGGAGCTGTCTACTCTGAAGAGTTTTAGTAGCTGTCGACTGGAAAGAGTACCCGGAGCTGTCTACTGTAAAGAGTTCCCGGAGCTGTCTACTGTAAAGAGTACCTGGAGCTGTTTACCGTAAAAAGTAATCAGAGCTGTCTACTGTAAAGAGTATCCGGAGCTGTCTACTGTAAGGAGTACCTGGAGCTGTCTACTGTAAAGAGTTCCTGGAGCTGTCTACTGTAAAGAGTACCTGGAGCTGTTTACCGTAAAAAGTAATCAGAGCTGTCTACTGTAAAGATTACCCGGAGTTGTCCACTGTAAAGATTACCCGGATCTGTCTGCTTTAAAGAATACCGAGAGCCGTCTACTGTAAAGAGTACCCGGAGTCGGTGAACTAAACCCTGATTTCCCACACTTGAACCCAACAACCGTGCAAAACTGACCAACTAGATATATTATTAAATAATTCTAATGTGTACAGGGTTTCTATTTTCCATTCCACAACAGTATCTTGTTTTTTTTTTCTTTATTTATCTGTTAAGCCTACTTTTACCATAGATTTGCCCAGATCTTCAAAATGGACTTTGTAGTTCTAATACTATCTTGTTTTTAACAGATTTTTTTAATGGTGGTTTCTTTACAAAAATGACTTACGCATTTCTACTGCAGGAAAAATAAAGGAATTATCAGAATTAAACACTTTTAAACCTCGAAAAAACCCGATATTATCTTTCATAATATTGATCAGAAAAAGGTTTCAAGGTACTATTGTGAATCGGGAATTGCGATCTTTGCATGTAGGGTCACTTCAAATTACATTTAATCATGAAAAAATCAGAAAAATACTGAAATGAATGGGTTCAATACATGTTAGCATTGAAACACCCAGTAGTTTAACTAGACAAGTTCAATGTTCCCAGGCTATCCACTATCTAGGCCTAATTGGTAAATTCTAAATAACTAATTTTCCGGTTACAGTGTGTCCCAATAAACATGATAAATAAAGACGACTAATTTGACATTAAATTTGTCACATCAAAATAAGGGTTTCTCAAGGTTTGCTCAATATATATCTATATATAAACTTTGCTTGTTTGGGTGTTAGGTGTTTGTTTGTGCCTAATAAACGTCAAAACAACTAAACCGATTGTACCCAAATTTTTTGTTGGACCGAGGAGAGGTTTTAGGATGAATAGAATTTCAAAAATTTGCCTTAAAAAAGTTTGAAAATCCACGAAAAAATATTTTTTGATCTGCAAACTTTTTTTTTTAGTTTTATAATGTATACAAAGAGAAAATGCTCACAGGTAAAGCAGCAATTAAAAAATGAAATAGAAAATGGGCGCGAAACGCCGTGAAAACCTAGTTTTTAAAAGGAAAATCTGGTTTTGTAAACTAGGAATGTTTGTTTAATTTAATTAATATTAATTAAAACGAGAATGAATTCAAATTGAAGAAAATAAAAGTATCTCGCCCTGGTTAGTCCAGATTGAACAATAATATGCAGTTAAAAATTATGTCTAAAATGTCATGTCGTGTCATGATTTGGGAATCTTGTTGTTTATTAGAAGTATTTTTAAAAGAACTGTCATTAGTTGCATATGTATTTATAGTGTAGTTTTAACTTTCAGACAGAGTATTCACAAATAATGTAACATTAAGGACGACCTATCAAACTCTTTAAACAAGACGAATTGAACGTGCAGGCTATTAGTATTGAGCTTTACAAAAGGTAAAGGGCAAAACTACGTATAGCTGCGGTGAAACCCGTAAATGTTTAGGAAAAAGGCTTTACAAATTCCGTACAGTCGTCTCTAAGGTCTCAAACCTTGTTGGTAAACATGTAAACCTGTTTTCTCACGTTTCCTTCTGCGGTCATTGATTTTTTTTGCAATGTATTAAATTCAAATCATACAAATAATGATTTTCTTCTTTTTAAACCATGCTATTCGCATAAAAATATAATATATATCTGTTAGACGATGGACGAACGTAGTAAATTAATTAGAATTGTTTGACCTAATGTACCGATGTAAAAAATGTTAGAAGCTTATCAATCATTATCAATTAAGTAAGATCTATTCACTAATTTATTCACTGTTATTTTTGTTTGTATGCATAAAGGTTTAAAGAATTTGTTATATTCACTGTTGTTTATATATGTATAATATATATGTGGGTGTGAGTAGAGCCTGCAACTTGAACTGAGCTGAGCTCTTCTACAGCTCTCCACAGCTCACTGGCTCACTAGCTCACCAGTCCGAGATTAGATTTTCTGCTTTGGGCGGTGCTCTGGACCCTACCACAATATGCAATATAGGTATCTATCTATCTATATTTGTACCTATCTGTCTATCTATCTATCTTTCTATCTATCTATATACTTTTTTAACTTTAAATCCCCCTCCCCTCCCTAGGTATGTGTAAGTTAAGCGAAAAATTAATTCAGGTGTTATAAAATATGTACTATATCTATACCATCTATATTTCTGTCTGACTGTCTTTTTAGTATTTATCTATTTATATTCTAATTTATTACCTACCACCCCCCCCCCGGACGTAATAATTAGAGAAAAATTTCATGGTCGCTGTACAGTGTACAATGTACAGAATACAAATACAATGTACAGTGTACACTACACACATTTAACCGACTAAAAATATCTCATCTTGTACAGTTTACCCTATTACTCAATGTATAGGTGGTACTGGTAGATAAATATTGTTCAAGGGTTGCTTACTTCACACTTTCCGAGGCTATTGCTCCTTCCAAAAATAATGGGGAGGGGGGGGGGGGTATAATGGGGAGGGAGGGGGATAAACCTATACAATCGGTTCTTTAGACTTACATCTTTCGACTAATACTTCCAACCTCTCTGAGTTATATACATATCTACTTATCTATCTTCCTATCTATCTAGTTACCTATCTGTATAACTAATATACCTTCTTAATGTCTACTTATCTACCTATTTATCTATCTAAGCCTATCTAGTTACTGATATGTGTAACGGCAATCTGTAACATCTACTAATTTATTTATCCATCTATCTATCAAAGTCTATCTAGCTACCTGTCAGTGTAACTAAATCTACTTACCTATCTATCTGCCTACCTATCGGTATATCTACTTATCTATTTATCCATAAGGAACGGTTCCAACTCGATCCAAATATGGTAATGCAACAGTAGGTTGTCTGGGGGTGGGGGGGAGTTCAGTAATTCATATTCTATGATACAAAGTTGAAATTGTGAGAAAAAAATATATTTTATTTATAAATAAGGTACATAAGGTTAAGACATCTAAAATTTTGGCACGTATTACGAAATCATTATTCATTAATAAACTGAAGTGAGACCGATACAACCATGGAATAGCATGATGAGATAAGTAGTGATTTGAAGCAGTAGAATGAACATTAAACACAGTAATTGAGCAGTATACACAGAACCATTTCACTTAATAAGTTGATTTTAATAATATTTACAAAAATAAGAAAAATATTGTTAAATGTCGTCTTCCTATTTCACAGGTTTATGGGTTCAACTGTACCATGATACTGTAGTGTGTAGTGTCTAATCATTATCTCAAGTTATGTAATAATCTTGAACAGGTAAAATCGCAAGAAGTTTTTATAAACATAAAGAAATTTCATCAATTGTGTAAACAATTTTACCATTGTTTGAGTCAATTCCAGGAACGTTCATGATTCCTTTTTAAATTTCATCAATTGTGTGTACTATTTGCTCATTATTTAAATATTGTCACATTTGGAAAAAAAACGATGACACTTAATTTTCACACTGAAAAAACCACCTAAAATAAAAATGAAAATAAGGAAACCCTGATAAAAATACTAATTATTACAAGTTTATTACAAGATTATAATCTAACTACGGGAAGAATTCTTGTTAAGAAGTTTTGATTTGTTTTCATCATAGGTCCACTGTAGAAACTTTTAAACCCTGCATATTATTCCTAAAAATAAATCAAATTTCATTTGACAGATTATTATAAATTTAATTTGAAAAAAATCACAATTTAAAGAATATATTTGAAACTAGCTCAAGATTTTTGAGAAAAAAAAAATCGATGTGAAAAAAATATTACGATTTAAAAAATCAATTTTTTAGCCTATGTTACCCCCCGGTTTTCCTCTAAAAATGTCGGCCCATTCGGTGAAGCCGTTTGGCCAGGTATAGCTGACATATAAATAAATATATATCTGAGCAAAGTGCTTTATATTTGAAACAAAGACGAGATTCTTTGTCATCAATGCATTATCATAATATTCTCTCAGAGTACACCCTAGTTTACTAAATTATATACAATTGCAGCAAGAAAATATACATGAGACTAAGAAAATAATTTCTTTCCTAACATTCCTAATTTTAGTATCCAATAATCTTTGCAACCTGATATCATATATCTTTACTGTTACGAACTATGGATTCAGTAAAACTCAGTCTAATATCAAAGGTTTACGCCCTAGGTTGCGAAGATATAGGGATTGGAAAACAGATTGAGTTTAAGCAAAGAATCAGTTTCTTTGTCAAGAATCGAAAATGTCGACATGTAACTGGTCGTGTTGTTTATTAAAGTATGTTTTTTCTAAAATAAAAATAAAAAAGTAATGTAATTATCGCTGTATGTAATTTTGGTTTTAAGGAAAACCATGGAATCTATGAACTCGGATTTAACAGTTCAAATCTTATCCCAGAGAACAGTGACTTTCAATCCCAATTTGACCTATTAAATTTTCATATAATTTTTTAGCCTTTTCTGTTTTATACTTTTTTGACGATAAAAAGACAACTCCGTAAGTTTAAAATTTTTTGAATTTTGGACCATTAAATTCTAATAGAGGAAACCCAATGCATCTCGCCCAGGTTTAATGTACCTGGTATCAAAGTATGTAGTATCACAAGCATCATCAGGCTGAGGTACAAATGGAGCAGTTTGGTCCAGTATATGGTCCCAGTCCATACCCTACAATATATATAGTTTAATCCAGTATATGGTCCCAGTCCATACCCTACAATATATATAGCTTAGTCCAGTATATGGTTCCAGTCCATACCCTATAATATATATAGTTTGGTCCAGTATATGGTCCCAGTCCATACCCTACAATATATATAGTTTAGTCCAGTATATGGTCCCAGTCCATACCTTATAATATATATAGTTTGGTCCAGTATATGGTCTTAGTTCATACCCTACAATACAGTGCCTGGACTTTATTTCATTTTGATGCAGATCCCAATCCTAGATCCGCTCTGAAAGTAATGGATCCGAATCCTAGATCCGCCTTGAAAGTAATGGATCCGAATCCTAGATCCGCCCTGAAAGTAATGGATCCGAATCCTAGATCCGCCCTGAAAGTAATGGATCCGAATCCTAAATCCGCTCTGAAAGTAATGGATCCAAATCCTAGATCCGCCCTGAAAGTAATGGATCCGAATCCTAGATCCGCCCAGAAAGTAATGGATCCGAATCCTAGATCCGCCCTGAAAGTAATGGATCCGAATCCTAGATCCGCCCTGAAAGTAATGGATCCGAATCCTAGATCCGCCCTAAAAGTAAAGGATCCGGAATCCGGATTAGTTGTCCTGGAAATAACTTTTTAGCAGGCTATGGTTGATCCGCATATTTTGCGGATCCGGATCCAGAAAGGCAAGTTGTTACGGATTCAACGGATCTGGTGGTAAAATCTCTAATCTAATTAAACTTACCTTCATTAAACCATATTCCCTGATTGTCTTCCCATTCGCCCTTTTCTCCGGGTCCAGGGTAAGGAAGGCGAGGATGGCCTCCACAGCATTGTCCGACAAGGCCTCTTCCCCCTCCGGCCACTCAATGTTGAGGTTGAGTATGTTTTCGAACACCAGCTTGATACTGGAGTCGTTGAAGGGAGGTATACCGGTCATAAACTCATACAGACATACACCCACAGCCCACCAGTCTACACTAGAGTCATGTCCTGAACATTCAGTCATTCCTTCATTTATCCTGATATTCGACTTTTTAATCATTCATTCTATGTTTTTTTTATTTATTCAGGCTCTCATTCAACCATTTTCTATACTTGAAACATTAACATTATGCTTGCGCTACAATGTTCGATTGAAAACCTTATTCGTTCAGAACATTCCAGCGAACATGCTTTGTATGTTTCGTTTTCTGTTTTAATCAAATCAAATCATGCTGTCACTTCTCAAGGAGTACTACTATCCCCCCCCCCTCCCTACTTGAAATGAATATACTAGTTCAAGTCAAAATTGAAACATAAAAAAGTTGTCTTGAAAATAATAGACTAAACTATCCTCAAACCTTATCACTTAGGAAAACCCAGTGGTACCGTGTGACCCAGAAAATTGTGGTATTATGATTTCAAATAGTCCTGACTTATATCTCTTGGTTAATCGATTGTTAATTAGTTAATTGTGGTCTTATGATTTTAAACCTACAGGTAACTATTTATTTCAACATCAATAATATATATGCATGCAATTGATAAAATATTGTCTGTTCACTCCACATATTTATGGGGACCACTGTACTAATAGAAAAATTAAACTAAAGAACTTGATTTTTATAATATTTGTACCTTGTCTAAGTAGGAGTTCTGGGGCTAGATAATCTGGAGTACCCAGAATCCGAGCATCACTTTGAACTCCAACTTTACGTACTACACTCTTAGGAGTCCGCAGGGGAGTCTGAGGGGGCATACGAGGAGTTGTTGGGGGTTGTGGGGAGTAGTGGAGCTGGATTGGGGAGTTATGCAACGGGCTTTTAATGCAGGAGAGATGATCTAGATCGGATAGACTCATTGGAGTGCTCATGCTAGGTTTCTAAATGAATATTAAGTTTTAAAATGTAATATAATGATTTGACTTTTCCTGGGCATGCTACATGTTCACAATTGAGAGTTTTTATGAAAATATGATTAATTAAAAAATAATTTCGAAAAGTTATACATTTTTTTTTGTATCCATCAACCCTACTTTATTTCATAAAATAATAATAAACAATATTTTGCAAGCTACAAAGATTGTAAATTTTTTTAAACTTACTTAAAATTGCAACGTGCTTAATTCTGGCTCAAGTTAAATGGGGATATCGGCAAACTACTGCATGAGAGCCAAAGAGAATAGAATATATATTAGAGGGGAATTTAAGAATCCCTCGGTATGAATTTTTTCAGTCCCTTTCAGCCTGAAAGGGAGTTCAAAGTGTACAAATCATGTAAATGTTCACAAAATATATGCAGTAGAGTACATTAATACAGTATGTTCCCTAGACTATCCATTCCAATTTCGAAATTTTTAAAGCTGTTAAATAAACTTTAAATTGAATTAGGTGAATAAAAAACATTTATAGTTATAACGGAAAATCATCGTTTGTAAAGTGAAAGGCATACAGTCTATGTGAAATGATCATTTAATTATGAAACCAGCCTATTTCATATTTTTGTGTTCCAGAGTCCAAAACTAAAGAACGAAAAGATTTGACTTAAATTTTAAGTTCATGGTTAAATGCTACTTCTGACTTAATTTAAACCTGAACTTTAACCGTGAGGTTAAATATTTAACCCTGTGGTTAAATATTTAACTCGCCGAAATCGACGAGTTAAAATTTAAACACATGGTTAAAATCTTAAAATCCTGCATTTCCCTATGGGTCTATTATTCAATCATCATTCAGTTGAGAAAGTGGCATTCAACTTTACGATATATTTAAAAGTGAAAACCTTGTTAAAGAAATTTCACGTTTCAGATTAATTAATTTTTGCATGTAAACCCAAAATACGGTTGTAACTCGAAATATGTTTTGTTTTCGGTTACGTAATCAGCTGATTAGCGAAGGTTACGTAATATTCTCCGTAAATCCTTTTCTCTGATTGGTTCAGATTTTCCCGGGAAATTCAAATTTAAAATTGAGAAAGTTTAATATTTAAGTAGCTACTCATTATTTTACAGAACTTTTAACCTCGAACTTAAAATTCGCGCATTCTTTAGTTTTAGACTCTGGGCCCAAAAGATTATATAGCATTAATAAGTGAAGTACACCTGCAGTATGGAAACAGTACAACAAAATGCCCGTTTTACACTTTTTTCTTGTAAATTCCACTCTAATATATATCCTATTCTCTTTGATGAGAGCGTGTACTACAACTGACTAGTGATGTGCTTTCTGTTGGTTCCTTTATGTCGTTATTTTGTCTATATTTTCTTCCGAGTAAAAATTTAGCATAGATGAATAAGAGAAAATATTGGAACAGATTTCCACACACAGGGAGACAGAGAGAGGTGTAGGGGGATACGGGAAATACCCCATGGCTTGTCTAACAAACTAACCTCTATTTGTTGTGGTGAAGGAACAGGTGTAACCCCTGCCGGAGTCAGGAACTTGACAGCTTTCATCCCTTTCAGATGTTTTATATGGACGGGAACTGCAGAGAGAGGAGTTGAATTCTGATATTCAGGTTTACCGTGCTCCTGCTTAAACAAATATTAGGTATATTACAGTTAATAATGCCCGTGGAAAAAAATTAGAAAAAAATGTTGAAAAAAAATATTTAAAAAAAATATATTTTCGAATTTTTTTGGCAGGGTATACGCAGTATATATATATACGAATGTTAAAATATCCAAAAACGTTTACAATTTTTTCCCGGAAACCCCTAAAAACCAAAAGAAAACATAAGTCGAGTTGGATTAACATTTATCATGTTTTGCTTGAAAAACAACCGAAATTTGAGAAAAACCGAACAAGTTGGATTTTTTATGGTTTCTTGAATTTAAATCAATATTTACGAAAAAATTTCTGTTCCGCTTCAATCCTATTTTCTATTAATCTTAAATGATCGAAAAACCGGAATTTTTTTTTCTCAATTTGAACTGAATATTTACCTTTTCGCTCCCTCCTGACCCATCACTTGACTCACTGCAGGTGGATAATGTTTGATCTCGGACACATTCACTCCCTGGAATGGATTTACTCCCTGACTTGGATCCACTTTCACTCCCTGACATGGATTTACTCCCTGAGTTGGATCCGCTTTCGCTTCCTGACATGGATTTACTCCCTGACTTGGATCCACTTTCACTCCCTGAAATAGGCTCATTCCCTGACATGGATCGAATATTAGATTCAGACTCCGAAATTCTCTCTAATCTGTCCATTTTAGTTTGAAGGTTCGCTAGTTTAGTCTCCGTTCTCTCCGTGGAGTTGAACTCATTGCTGTGATCTTGAATTCTCTGAGCCCCAAGAAACCCTGAGCTTTGAGCGTGCGCAAGCTGTGAATAGTTATCTTTTCCTTGAATCATTAGATTAGGACAGGATCGTTTCCGAAGCCGGAGAATATCCGTTATATCCTGAGTTAGCCCCGTGTGAGAATCCCCAGATCGGATTCTTTTTCGGGTCGGAGCAATCGGAGACTTAAACCTTTGCAGAGTACAGGGTTCGATAGGCTCCCTACTCTCATCTTCTAGGATATCGCTCCCGTGTAATCCTAGTTCAAGTCTAGCAGGAGACATGGACAGGTCCATGTGATCCAGGACAGAACTTGATCTATCCAGCTCACTTAACTCTAGACCTGAGGAAACAGATGCTGGGCTCATTTCCAGTCTCTGGGGCTCCGAGGGGGCCGGACTCATTTCCAATCTCTGGGGTGATGTGAAGTCCCCTGAGCTACGCTGAACCCTGTCTGGACTATCCTCGGATCCTTGAACACGCTCCGGACTGTCCTGGGAGCCTCGGGACAAAGAGAGGCGGGTCTCCAAGTGAAGATCACTGTCGAAGGACTCGTGAGCACGCATTTGCTCCGGGGATGCGCATCGAATACTCAACATGTTCTGCCGCGCTTGAGACTGAGATCTGACTAGGTTGGGCGGGAGCTGAGGCGTTGCTCGACCAAGCTCGGCTTTTAATTCTCCATGATTAGGATATCTGGGGGTAGGATTGGAATCTGAAAACCCAGCCCTAGCTCCAGAGGAGGAATCAGGAGGAGTGAGGAAGGTTTTTCCAAAGTTTGGATGAGTTCTGAAAAATTCGTCATTTAAAAGGAAATTAACAAAACAAACGCTTTTACAGATTGAACAACGATGATTTATTGGTTTCTTAGCTATAGGGTACCGTCGTTTGTGAATTGGATAAGCAACGCTTTAAAGACCATTTAAAAATAGTTTTGCAAATTCTTTAAATCTTAAAATTGAAACTAAATGATTTATTTAAAAAACACACCAAATTCTCCGATTAAAAATGATATCTACAAAATTTATTTAGGAGAATGAGGGGTGGGGATATAAACCACTGCCTACCTGTCTACGGGGGATATATTGGGATGAGGAGTAAGACTAGATCTGTAGAATTTAGGACTAGAACTCCGACTTGCAGTCGGGGATCCAAGATAGAAGGTTGGACTAGTTAAACATGGTTTCAAGGATTGAGGACTAGTTCTCCGATGCTCCGGGCTCAGCATCTCCTCCTGGTCTAAGGTACAGGAGCTAAACCTGGGTTGGGGGTAGTGGGATAGGTTGGAGATAGATCGAGGAACATAGTTCTCTTTATCCCTGCAGATTATACTGGTTAAACTTTGATCATTCAACAAATTGCTGGGATCAAAAAAAAAATATGAAATGAGTGATTTTCATGGATTTCATTAAAAGTTTTTAGATGAATTTAACAAACAAAGCATAATTTTAGGTAACCCTCTATTATTAACTAGAAAAACAAGGATAGCTCTCTTCTTCATGGTCAGACAACGGTTCATAAGGTACTGTTGTGAATCGGACATGCAACTCTATGAATGAAGGGTCCCTTATGTTTAGAGTTTATTTAAACTTTGATTGCACTTTAATTAATTAAAACAACCTAGCTTGGTTAGGCGGGTACAAACTACAGAGAACATTGTGATTTCTTATTTTTGATAATCAGTGCTTTGTATTAGAAAAAAGATAATTATGAAATGAAATTTCTTATTTTAACGTAAGATATCTATCAGAAACATAAATGCTTGTTTGCCAATGTTAAACACAAAAAACCGAAGGATTAAATTCTGATTAGAATTAAACCAATATTTTCCTGAAAACATCATCATTAGATGAACAGCTACTGAGGACGGAAGTATTCAAGTCTTTACCAGGGTTAACGGCTACGTCGAAATCAATCGTTTTATTCTAAATAATAATACAAATAATAATTATAAAATTTTTTTGGGGGAAATTTTGCTTTTATTAAAAGTACTTACCCCGAAATCTATTAATAATACCTACTCCCAAAATAAATGAAAAATACCTGTCCGAAATCTATTTAAACTACCAAACTAAAATAAATTAAAAATACCTACCCCGTAATCGATTTAAAGTACCAAACTAAAATCAATTAAAAATACCTACCCCGAAATCAAAGCTTGAAGAAGGAAGAGGTGGAAGTTGCTCACTTGATAACTCTAAATATTAAAACATAACAAAATGGAGGAAAAAAACAACGATATAAAATCGACAAATCAAAATGCCGAGTTTGATTGTATGTACATTGTACAATGTATTGTGCTTAATTTCGAGTTTGAATCTCTTACGTCTCAATTTTTATTGACAAAGTTAGACTTGGCGAGTTTTGTGATCTTGGTTTTTAGATTAGACTTTACTCTTAAAGGGACAGTAAAGGAAAAATGAAAGGGGGTATAGGCTGAAAGCTAATCACTTTAGCTCTTGATCTCGACCCATGAAAGTCATATCTGATGTTCCTGTCTCGAGAAATTGATATACAACTGTGTCAAATCTATACGAAAATTAATATATATTGTAGAAGCCTGACTTTTAGTTATAAGAAAATATGATTTTGTCCTACATGTTAAAATTAGAATTGAGTTTGCATAAATGCGCAAACAGTGGCCGAATTTAAAGAATTTGAGCGGCGGTTTAAATTTAAGCCGCGGCTTAAATATGGTTGGTTCCATATCAAATGTTTCAAGATTTAAGCCGGCGCTAAATTTAAACCGGGTTTTGGCGGATTTTGCCGAATTTAAACCGCGGCTCAAATTCTTTAAATTCCATCTCAGTTTCACTGATATTTCGTAAACTTGTTCAATCTCGGATTTTACACTAGTCATTCTTAGTATGTTAAATGAGTAACATATGAATAAATAAACTTGTGAAAATATGTTATCATTCTGAGTTATTGAGACTTATATAATATACAATTTTGTATAAAAGTAGTGGGTTTTAACAGATCATATTCAGCAAATAAGCAACCAATCTGAAAACGATGATATCCCAGAGAAAGCTAATTGTAATTTAGGTTTACTTTTATATTTGTTGTTTCTATCTTCAATAGATTTCATCCATAATATTATTTTTACGTCCGTATTACTTGACCAGAAATTCCACCAATGGCAGTGCAGTAAAGTGGTCACGTGATACAGGCGGAGACCCGTGACCAGTATACTGCTCTGCCATTGGTTATAGTTCTGGTCACGTGATTTAAGTTTCAGATTTTACATATATGAATTTTCGTATAATTTTAACACAGTTTTATATCAGTTTCTCGAGACAGGGACATCAGATAAAACTTCCATGGGTCGCGATCAAGAGCTAAAGTGATTAGCTTTCAGCCTATACCCCCTTTCATTTGTCCTTTACTGTCCCTTTAAGAAAAGTTAGTCCCAATTATATTTCAAGGATTAAGCCTTATTTTAGTGTTCAAATGAAATCAAATGAAATCAAATGAAATCAAATGAAATCAAATGAAATCAAATGAAATCAAATGAAATCAAATGAAATGAAATCAAATCAATTAAAATCATATCATATCATGAATGAATGAAACAGCCTGGACTCTGGAGGTTCAATTCCAATTGTTTAATGGTTTTTTCAGTCCGGATTTGATTTTAATTATGACATTTGCTATAACTCAAGTTCATGATTTTTCTTTTAACGATGAGCGTTATGATCCCAGCAACATGACCAAGTTTGAGCCATGCAACCATTTATGTTAGAGGCAACTTTATCCAGAGACTATTTTAAAAAGTTAAATTGCCTTTACAGTAAATTGTTAAATATATAGTTCACTAATAATAATAATAATAATATTAACTGTCAATCCTTCAATCTGAAATTTCAAACTTGGGGTCCGTTCTGTTAAAGTTTCAATGAATTAACGTAGTTAAGAGCTGAGTGTAACTTCAAGGGTGGGAGACTAAACTAGTAAAATAATATTTGTTTATAACATACCTAAGCAATTTTCTTTCTCTGATTTATGATGCTCCGACAGTTCATCATAAAAGGATTTCTTTCGGATAAATCTAAACATTTAAATAATTTTTCTATCCTGCAAAATATACCATTCTTAACAGAACTAAATACGACATTTCCGACTCACAACGGTACTCTTTAAACCTTTTCCTAGCCAAGGATGAATGGGTCAGCCTTGTTAAAAATTGATTAATTTCAGTTGAATGTTCTCTGCACGAGTGATTTGCGGACTTGTTTAGACGAGACAATAAGGGAAATTGTCACATTTCAAGGCTATCCTAATTTATAACTATTCAGATTAAGATTTAAATAATACTGTTGAGTGGTAAAATCTGATGTTTTTTGAAATTACGTCTGTTTTATTTATTTAAGATCATCTAATAATATTTACAAAAATCACACCCATCTTAATGTTAACCATTTTAACATTAAACTATTACCAATAAAAAAAAATACATCTGGAAAAAAGTATGTTTATACTTTTTACATCATCGTTGTATTGGTTAGAAAGTGCTCCTAGTAGGTACAATTCCCACAAATGTGTGATGAATATTTTTCCTCTAAAATGCAGTTTTAACCTTTAATATTAGGCCAAATATTCGAAAATGCACTCGGTCCCTTTGCCGAGGATATTAATTACATTTGCACCCACTAGACATTGTACTGCAAAGTTTAACAGGCACAACGCCTAGAAATTGGAGGAAACGTCGGTGAAAAATTTTAATCTAAAATGCCGTCTTAGACTTCAAATTATGTAGTCGGTCCCTTTTCCAAAAATTTTCAAAAAAATTCTTAATCTTTTTTTGTCATTTAGTTTTTAAAATCCTCAATTCTTTGGAAGGTTAAAACAGCATTTTAGAGAATTATGATTCATAAAAAAACACTTTTTCAGAGACACCCTGTATATTTATTATTTAATTTGATCTTATGATACTAAAATAGCTAGGAATTTATAGCGCGCTCCGCGTCCGGTCCGTCCTTTGGGTGATAATTGTCGAGATTTGGTAGCTGATCGGTTCAGCCATTTTGACATTTGTTGGATACACAAGCCATAAAAAAGAATGAAAACCTTGTTCCTCGAGTAGCAGGGGTAGATATATCCTCTAGTATTCCTCTAGAACCAGAGCTTAGCATATCCTTCGGAGTCCGGGACTTGGCCTAAAAATCAGAAAATAAACTACAAGTTTAAAATTCTGAGAATCAGTTTAAACATTAAAAATTCTCAGTTCAAACAGGGAAGGCCAGCTGACAATTTATTTGCCCCATCATCTGAGCATGCGATCATGCCATGTCCCACGCGGAATTTTGATAATCTGCTAATTATCATTATTTATAGCCAAAAAAGTAAAAGTATTAACCCACTAGCTTTTCTTTAAACTGTCTCTATAAAAGTCGACCCACTCAATCAAGAATTGTTTAACCCAGCTAAGAACACTTCAGTGGTTCGACTTGGTTCCCCAATTCAAAATTAAAGGCAAATCTGTCAAGGGATCATTAGCAATTAAGTGATTAAATCCGGATCCAAGTTCGTCATGTAAAAAAAGATTCCGGATCAAACATCTAAATATTTTTTCAAGCCTAAATATGTTAATTTCAATTCAAATAATACTTTACAGAGATTGCTTGAGGCAATGAGGCAACCAGTTTTTTACAAATCACTTTTTTGTGCTTGTATCTTTGCCACAAACTCTTATTTTCTGATCCCTTTATTTTACCAACCCAATATTGCTGACCATAGATATTTCAAACTATGAATTCTGTAAGATCAAAAAAAAAAAACTAAGTTTGAAATAACAAAGGTTTACACCATCAGGTTGCAGACATATGAGGCGATTGAATAATTTGAGTTTGTGGCAATAACTTAAATCTAACCTTTAATGTGGGAGTAATGGTTATTTTCTTCTGTGAAACTGACATATTCATAGATTTACATGGTTCACATCCTTCGCTTCCGACTAATCTGAAAAATTATACAATTAGTAATAATACTCAATTTATTATTCAATCAAAAAAAACAGATATACATCCTCATACACAATGTTTCATGGCCCAATTGTCATGGACCAATCTTCAGTGAGGTCTGTTCTCGACTCTGATCCTGATAAGTAATAATATGCTTTTGCCAATCATCAAATCAAATTATGAGTGTTAGCCTGTTAGGGAAAGCTTTAGGCTCCACTCTACAGCTTGGAGAAAGGAGAAAAAAATAACTCACAAAAACCAAGAGGATGACTTCTTAAATCACACGAACAATAAGAACTGACGTGTGTAATAAGCTAAGCATAAACAGAGGATTCCATAGGCTCCAAATTTAGACATTAAAAAAATTATTTCTTGATTCTGGCTTTTACTTAAAATTTTGTTACAATTTACCAAAATTTTAGTTACTTTTTACTCCAACTAATTTGATAAGTTATGAAATAGTAAGAGTTTAACAACAGTGCACTATTTCTTATTTTTCAAATTTCTTTAGCTGATAGGATTAGTAGCAACAAATTTATCAAATCAAATCAAATCAAATCAAATCAAATCAAATCAAATCAAATCAAATCAAATCAAATCAAATCATATCAAATCAAACATGTGGGCAGTTGCCAACAGCATCCAAATTTAAGAATGTAGTTTCAATTTGATATGAACATTTTAAGTTAAAGTTGTGTAAAAACTATTAGCCTTGTAACAATAATAATAATACCTTGAATCTCTGCCGTTAAAATTCAAATTAGCTGTATCCATTGTGTAGCTGCCACCAAGATTTTGATCAGCTGGACCTAAAATTCATTATCTATATAAATATATATAAAAGTAGTTATCTCTGTTTGTTTCCGTGTCCGATCATAACTCATGATATTCACCGATTTGTCTGAAATTTGGATTAGGCAAACCTGGGTTACCAAGCTAGTAGAATAAAAAGAATTAAATGAGCTAATAAATTCAGGATCAGGATCAGGATCAGGATCAGGATCAGGATCAGGATCAGGATCAGGATCAGGATCAGGATCACTTGTCAGGATTATTAATTTAGGAAGGATCAAAGATCATGAAAAAAGAATTAAAGATTATGATTAAAGAATTAAGTCAAGGGTAAAAATCAAGTGTCAAGTGTTAAGAGCCATGACTCAAGGATCCAGGATTCAGTGACAAAATTTAATAATAACAAGAAGTAGTTAAACCATGTAGACTAGGTTGAACCACTTCTCTTAAACTTAAATCAGTTCAAACAAAATAAGTGGTTCAAACATAATTTAACTACTTCTCCTTATTGGTCATCAAAGGTCCCTAGACTTATGATTCCAGATTGTAGGATTAATGATCAGGATAAAAAATGAAAAAGATAAAAAAGGTCAAAGGGAATATATCCTACCTGGAGTTCTGACCAACCGGTTTATCATCGACTTATTGGAAGCCCACGGAGTTTTAGGTAACAAATCCGCAACCTGAACATTCAGTTATTTTTAGTGACACTTTTTTTAAAACAATAATTTACATCAAAAAAATTGATTTTTAGCGACTCTTTTTTAAGCTAAAAATTACCGTGACGCTTAATCACAAGTGTGCATCATGCGAAATAAACAAGATGTTTCTATGCTAAAAGCTTTTTAGTGAAGTTTGATAAAGATGAGCAAAATTGAATGGTTGAAAAGTGAATGAATAAATAAAAAGGAAAGATGAAGGTAAGAATGAAAAGGATGAATAAAATAAACTGAAAAATACTTGTAACCTGAAGTTCTCTATCTAATCCTACAGTACTAAGCCCGAAGTCTGTTAGTTTGAGATGACCAGAAGCAGAGATTAACATATTATCTGGTTTTACATCCCTACAACATTGTAACATATTGTGGCTTTACATCCCTACAACATTGCAACATATTGTGGATTAACATCCTTTGAACATTGTAACATATTGTGGCTTTCCATCCCTACAACATTGTAACAAACATACTATCTGGTTTTACATCCATACATAACATTGTAACATATTGTGGTTTTACATCCCTACAACATTGTAACATATTGTGGATTTACATCCTTTGAACATTGTAACATATTGTGGCTTTCCATCCCTACAACATTGTAACATACTATCTGGTTTTACATCCATACATAACATTGTAACATATTGTGGTTTTACATCCCTAAAACATTGTAACATATTGTGGATTTACATCCTTTGAACATTGTAACATATTGTGGCTTTCCATCCCTACAACATTGTAACATACTATCTGGTGTTACATCCATACATAACATTGTAACATACTATCTGGTTTTACATCCATACATAACATTGTAACATGTTGTGGTTTCACATCCAAACATAACAATATAACATATTATGGCTTAACATCCATACATAACATGGTAATATACTATCTGGTTTTACATCCCTACAAAATTGAAAGCTTGTAACAGTTAAGGTCCCTGCATCCGAATCACACACACAATGCGGATCCAAGGACAAAATATCAACCAAAGAATGTTAAGTTTGATTGAAATAAAGAATTCCAATTTTTGCTCAATTTTAAGCAGAAAATTTAATTTTTGTATGAAGTCTAGCTACCTGTGTATTATTCCTTTTGAGTGAAGGTACTGCAAAGCTAGGATTACCTCAGCAATATAGAATACAGCCATACTTTCCTAGTTTATACAGATTCATAGTAAGTTGATGATTTATATCTAGAATATATAGATATAAAGACTGATAAATAAAAATACATGAAGGTAGTTAGATTGAGAAATAAATAGAATGGTAGAAATGAAGAAAGGATAAATTAGAAATATGAGTGAAAAAATATTAGGAAAGAAATGAAAGATTTTAAGGGGTTGCTTTTAAGTCGAGAAAAAAATCTGTTCAATATATAAAAAACTACTCCTTAAACAATATTAATTTAAAATAAATTTCAAAAGTTAACATTTTATTTAAATAAAAACAAAACAATATTTTATTGATTGATTTGACTCACCTCGAAGAATCCATAAACTCCAAGTAAAGATTTCATATCTCCTCCTATCATATACTCCATCACCTACCAATAATAACAATAACAACAATAATAAAAACAACAACAGTAATAAAAACAACAAAAACGATAATAACAACAAAATTAATACAAACAAAACCACATCAACACAACACAACAACACAACAACACAACGAAAACAAAGCAAAAAACGACACAACACACCAACAAAACAACACAACAACACAACAACAGCAACACAACAACACAGCAACACAACAACACAAAAACAAAACAACAAAACAACACATAAGACATAAACACAGCAACACAACAACACAAAAACACAACAACACAACAACAAAAAACAACACAACAACAAAAAAAAACAAAGCAACACAACAACACAACAACAAAAACAAAAAAAACAAAAAAAAAACACAACAACACAACACAACAACAGAAACACAGCAACTCAGCAACACAACAACAAAACAATATAACAACAATAATAATAATCACCTACCAAAAATATTCATACATATCTAATATTCAAATTGTAAAAATAAAAAATAAAAATTCCATTCAAGATTAAACTTTTTGGTTCATGGGACTGTTTAAAAAAAAGTAGCACGTCCGATTCCCAGCGGTACCCTATAAACCCTTTCTACTTTGATATGGGTAACAAAGAGGAAGATATCGTTATTTCTCTTCCTTAAACTGTGTTGAATTCTGACAATTTCCATAATTGTCTGTCTCTACAGCATAAATCCGCAAGTAATCCCTTTAATTTGTATAAAATACTTGCCAGGAAAACATTATTATTTGTCTGTAGGCAGTAGAACAGGTTTACACAGAACGGAGATTTTGTGATCGCTAGAGCATTACGCTCAGCGATTACTTGACTCACGAGGTTCTTCTCGATCAATTCAGTTTTCTTCATAACCTTCAAAACAATTCTTATGCGATCATTCTTAATCATTCTCAAAAACGCATTAAGGACGTATACACAAGGACCCCCCCCCCCCCCCTCTCGGTAAATGTAATTTTCCCGTAATAACAAGATTCCTAAATAATCGATTTCCTACAATAATTTTTTTTAAACATTTATTGGTCATGCTATTCTTACCTTTACTGCCAGTTTATTTTTCGGTTGGTCTCTGCGGTGACACAAGAACACTACGAAAACGAGCATTAAAAAATAATTGAAACTTCAAATTCGAATAGCATTTTTTTTTAAAAGAAAGCTTTCTTTGATAAAATAAATTTTTAACTGATCTCACCTTTTCCAAAAGCTCCTCTACTTATAGGTTTTAACAACTCAAAATCTTCTATTTTGGGAGCCATGCCCAAACTGGAGCCGCTCCTACTTTCATGAAGGCTGGCACCGAGATTGGAGCCATGACTGCAATCTGCTCCATAATGGCTCTCGCTAAAGACTCCAGTGCTCTCAAGTTTGGAGGATCCTACACCTCCATTATCTCCTTCCTTCACTACAGGATCTTTTGCATCTACCTCCATTTTAACTTGATTTGACCTTTACTTGATTTTCCATTTTGAAATGTCTGAAAATATACAAAATCGTTATTTTTGTAAAACTAGAAAAAGATTTATAGAATAAATCTTTAGAGATCATTTTCAGGTACAAAGATGATGTTAGATACTGAACACCAACATTACTTTTCTAATCCATATAAACTAGCAAACTAGCAAACAGTGACCGAATTCAATGAATACGCCATTTTGAAAAAAGTTGATTAATTTATTGAAATCCAGTTCCAAGTTTTGCTTCTTCTTCTCAAACAATATTTTAAATGTGTTTTTTTTTTCAAACAGACACCTAACTACAATATAAGCTGTTTATTAATATGCACATTTTTCAATTTTAGGTGTTCTTCTTTAGCTTGGATCGCATATTAACTTTAAACTAAAATCAAAGTGAAAAAATAGACAGTACATTTTTATTGTTTCAGTTTTTAAAAATATTGTTGACTAATCATTTAAAGATATGAAATGCCAATTGAATGAATTATAAAAAGAATATATGAATTAGCTAAATTAACTTAATTAACATTACTTCCAAAACTTTAAATTAACATGATGAATAGTGGAGAAAACTAGATTTATACAACTGAATTGTGCTTAAGCAGAGAAGGTTAAGACATTTTGGATATCCAAATCATCTACCGAAAACTTCTGAGTCAAAATCTTTCAATTCAGTTTAAATTGAATTTTCTGAAAAGAGTCTTGACAGGGATTTATAAAAGTCAACATAGTCTACTTTCCAAATCTTTAAAAATATCTTAGAATGGTTTTGTTTTTTAAACCTACTTAATAGCTGATAAACTCTAGTTTCTGAATTATTTTGCCAGAATTGTTGATATTTGTCTTTGTAAACCTGGCTTTTAAGGCCAGTTGCATAAGCTGATGTAATCTTCAGGATACTCACTCAACCAAGTTTAGATTTTTTTCAAGCTAGATAATTTTTCAATCTATTTAAAAATATTTATATGTCAGCAATAGCTGGTCAAACAGCTGGACCAAACTGGCAAGTTTAGAGAACCGATGGGTACCCCAGGGATGAAAAAGGCTAAACAATTTTTGTAAGTTTTAAAATTCCACAGGCAGCACTTAACATTTCAGCTAAAATCATGGTTTAATATCCATCCCTTGTAAACGGCGGGAGTAACTAAGATATCAACCTGGGCAACACCAGTCCAGCTAGAAATTATTATTTTCACAATCCTTATAAGTTTTTGCGATTAAATGCAGGACCGGCACGCAAGCAACAAATATTATGTTTTTTTTTATTATCATAGAAGTAAATACACAAAGACTCAAAGATGAAAAATATACAGTTAATACTGTATTTTTGTCTCTGTTTAATAAAAAACATTCTTTGAGAAAGAAAAACTCAGAAAACTGGATTTCAATCAATTAATCAACTTTTCTAAAAATGGCGTATTTTCTGATTTAATGACAACACTCCTGAGTCATCTGTTGGCCTTACTAACCAGATCCAATTGACAGAACCATTGGGATAATTCATAAAACTTAAATTCTTTCCAGCTCAGTGTGAAACTAAATCCACCGATTCAAAGTTATAGATTCATGAGGATTTAAATAGGTGAATCACAATTTGAACCGGCGGTATAAAGTTCAGCGACCTCTCCAATTGAATTTAGTCCTGGTATTTTGGTATTTCAAACTAGGAATTATGACATGATTAGGTAACTTGAAATATCAAAGTTTTACATCATTAGGTTGCAAAGATATTCGGATTAGAAAATATGAATTAGAGAAAAATGTTTAGTTCATTTTCCACTAATTGATAACCTATTCTCATATTCAAAATAAACTGGTACTATTCATAACTGGGGTATTTATCAGCTGTCCATGTACTGATTCATTGATTGTTGAAGAATTGGTTTGCTACACTTCAGATTCCGATAGAACTTCAAAACCTAAATAAAGGATTACGGAATAACGTCAAAGAAATTTGGGGAAGCTGATGGAGGGTGATTGTGAACTTTTATGAATTTAAATCTAAACTTTGTGATATGTGGCATCTAAAATTTCTCTTACCTTTGTATCAGCTCTGACGCACCCAGGTTTAAAGTCAAGTATACGCAGAGATTCCAGGCTCTTGGCTCGACTTAATGCAACATAAGCTTGGCCACACTCAAATACGCGGGATAGAGATACCTAGATAAAAATAACAATAACAATGAAATTAACAATAACAATCACATTAAAAATACCAGTACCATTACCAATAAGTATATCAATTGCAATAACTATTAACAATAACAATAGCAATAGCAATAACAATAACAATAACAATAACAATAACAATAACAATAACAATAACAATAACAATAACAATAACAATAACAATAACAATAACAATAACAATAACAATAACAATAACAATAACAATAACAATAACAATAACAATAACAATAACAATAACAATAACAATGACAATAACAATAACAATAACAATAACAATAACAATAACAATAACAATAACAATGACAATAGCAATAAAAATACCAATCGCAAAAGTAATAATAAAAACAAAAACTATAAAACTTTAAAAATTATTAGCACTAGCAACATTAACAAAAATGTAATAATAATAATGTTAAATAGCATAAATTTTATTTTTTATTTACTTATGTAATATTGAACTAACCTCTACACAATCTAGTGTCATCCCTTGAGATTTATGAATAGAGAATGCCCAGGCCAACCTTAAAACATCAAATTATTATCTACAAAATTACCCCCCCCCCCCTCATATGATTGTTTTGCCTACCTAAGAGGTAACTGAGTCCTACTCAGTAATCCACCAACACCATTCTTTACCTGAAATAAATATTCAAGTACAGTGCGCGCCATTAAACATAAAGATTTAGCGAAGTTTTAAAATAAGACGTATCCAATAACGTCATAACAGCTGATCTGATCAGGTTCATGACCTTCTATGAAATGAGAACTGTTAAAACGAGCACACAAATGGAGCCATGGATCCAGACTAATATATGATGACATTTCAATCTTACAGGATGCAGACCCTTGGCGGAGAAACTAGCAACGTTTATATTTTAAAACGCCACATATTGCCAGACAGGTTTATGGCCGGGCGAGAAAAAAAATTGCTTCCAAAAACTTTTGATTTTATAAAATTGTGAAATATTCATGTTTATTTTATTCTATTTTTGTTGTTGCTAAGTTTGAGCGACGAAGAAAGACTTGCAGATGAAAAATAGGGAAAGAATGACAAAAACATTTATTTAAGTGGATGTTGGTACCTGCCATTTTTCGGTTTTAATTTCTTCCGTTTTCCCTCCGATAAACCTGACAACGGGGTTTCCTTCAGAGCTAAACCTCTCAACAGCTCCCCGGGCTCCATTCACTAAACCCTAACAAGATATTTTTTTCAGAGCTAAACCTCTCAACAATAAGGTTATAAGTTTATATGTGATCAATCAATTGTCAGCCATCATAATTGTATGTATAAGAATATTCATAAATAATTTACTCGCTGGCCTTCTCATTCCCCGTCGTCTTTTTCGCGAATACTCCCTTTAATTTATCTCTAAAATGTTTGTTTACCTGCAGTACATTTAAATTCTTCATAAGCATAACCTGAGCACCAACTCTTAATCTCAAAACCTATATTTATTAATGTTAAAATCAAAAGAAATATCTAAAAATAATGTTACTATACTAAAGAAGATGATCTATTTTGATTATTGTATATTTAAAAGACATTTTGTAAGTTATTCCGTCAGTCAGCCCTTTCGCAGAGGAACTGAGCTCTTGCCACAAACTCAAATGTTCTAATCCCTATATCTGTGTAACCTAGTAGTGTAAACTTTTGATGTTTCAACCTTAGACCATTTTTAAGGATGTAATGCAAGGAAAGTTAATTGCGGTCGTGTATACTCTGTGTTCATATTGAAACCAGTTCTCTTTGGGCGGAATTTGTAAACAAGAATAGATGCATCAGTGTTCGTTTAGTATCCGAGGAGGTTTAAAGCATTAAATTTTGATAATTTTGATAATTCACATAATAGTTTCCTATGACCAGAATATTTCATTGACTTTTTTAAGTGAAAGATGGATCCCATGTCAGGCTGTAACATCTGTTTTGTGTTTACATTACCGCCCAGAGACAGTACACTGCAATACAAAAGATGCGTACACCTCTGAAATAACTTTCCTTGCATTACATCCTAGGATCATTTAATCTAACCGAATTCATAGTATGAAATATCAAAAGTTGTAAGCCGACCAGGGTCAGTATACAAATATGTGTAAATCTATTCTAACCCTTAATAAACTATAAAAAATACATCCTCATTGACCTTAAATGACACTTGAAATAATGGCCCCAAGAAAATGGTAATTTCGAACTAGTTACAAAATAATGCCATATGGGATTCATTGGTTGAGGTGTCCCTGGAGACAACTTATTATGTCATACTTTTCTGGTAGACATATAAATTGATGTAATTTTTACTTTTTATACATATGTACTAGATGAATTACCCGGCAATGCCCAAGTTACTCCTTGTTATTTCCGCCGTTTACCCGCACTTGGTCGATTTTATTGGGCAACTAAATTTTCGATATAAAAGTTGATTCACTCCCCTTAAGGCTCTCAAAACCAAACTTTTACGTGGTTTTCCGGAGTTTTCCAATCAAAATTTAAGGCAAATCGGTCCAGGGGTTTATGAGTTATGATCGGACAAACAAATAATCAAACAAACATACAAACAAAGATTACTACTTTATATACATAAATATTAAACCTGATCTACTGGAGTAGAATTGTTAATGAATGAGGTCATTCCTGAATCTGAATCCAGGGCTCGGTATATCTTCTCCTCTCCTCCACATAGGTTTAACTCCTTTAAAATCAGAATCAGAATCAGAATCAGGTTTAACTCATTTAAAATCAGAATCAGAGAATCAGAGAATCAGAGAATCAGAGAATCAGAGAATCAGAGAATCAGAGAATCAAAATCAAAATCAAAATCAAAATCAAAATCAAAATCAAAATCAAAATCAAAATCAAAATCAAAATCAAAATCAAAATCAAAATCAAAATCAAAATCAAAATCAAAATCAAAATCAAAATCAAATCAAAATCATGACATATCGAAGTTAAAAATCAACCACTTATCAAAAACAAAAAAATTGAAAAGAAAGACAGAAAGTATTTCAAATTAACCTTGGTATTGATTGAGTTGACATCATCTGTATGAGTACAGAGTTTGGTTGGAACTATTCCGTTCTTTGCTAGATCATTCGTCTTCGTACCTTTCAATATACTCGTCTCTCTATCTCCACATTCACCCAATCTCAACTTAACATTTCATTCTTAAAGAGACTGTTGAGGTGACCCTCTATGCAAAGATTGCAATGCCCGATTTCCAATTGTAAATTTTTTTATCTGCTTAACCAAATGAAGAGCTAGACCTCAAAATTACGAAATAAAAAAGATCACAGCAGAAGTTGGATGGCTGTTAATTATTCGACAAAAAATCGCTTTTTGGCAGAAAAAGCTAGATGACTGCCAAACAAGCGATTTCTTTTGTTGAATATAAGAAATTTTTCTCGCTTAATTGGCAGCCATCCAACTGTTGCTGCAGAAAAAGCTATGATTAAAATATTAATTTTTAAAAAAGCCCTCTAAAATTTACATTTTAGGTAGAGATAGGTTGCTGAGAAGAATATAGGCTGAGAAAAAATCTAGTATAGCATATTTTCTCTATCAAAATACCTACCTTATTCAGTATTGTCACTAGATTCTGATCTGACTGACGCTTTACTTGCGTAAGCTCTACATTTATCTGTACGCATCTTTGCCATGCACTGGTTTCAAACGCAAATCGTCTTTCCTCGTCGCCTAAAAATCCATTAGGGTTCCTCAAGAAAGTGACTTGCATATTTATGTGTGAGAAAAAAATATGAAGAAATTTGCCAGAATTATCACTTTTCAAGATAGAAGAACAATATCTCCCATATTAATGATCATATAAAGGGTTAAAGGGTGACGTTGCGAATCGTACATTCCCCGCTTTTAATGGAAGGTTACTTAAAACAATTAGAACTTGATTAGTTGATTGGTAACGTAAATGGATTACTAAAAATACGAATTCCAACCTTTTACAACAGGAGGCAGCTGCAGGAAGTCTCCAGTTAGAATCAGCTGGATTCCACCAAACGGTTTATCATTTCCTCTGTATTCAGAATACTTATTTCAAAACTATGTTGGATGACTATGTATACAGACTAGATGAAATTCTCTGTTCGTCTGTCAGATCATAACTCATGAACTCTTTATCCGATTTGCCTTAAGTTTACATTTTTTATAGAAAGTTCAGTTTCCATGCTAAGCTAGGTACCGGTCAAGCACTACAGAAAATGGCATAAAATTTACGAGGTTACTTTAAAAATAACTCATGAACCCTTTAACCGATTTGCCTCAAGTTTATATTTGGGAACTCGGTAGAACAAGGGGAATGATCTTAACTTGGTTTAAGATTCTAAGTTCACGTTTTTAAATCAAACCACAAGTACAAGGGAGAAGGAGAACCAACTGAGCGTATTATGAAAAATAGTAAAAATACAAAAGTTTAGACCTCTGACCAACTAGAAAATTGAACTATTAAAAAAGTGAGCACTAAAACGTCCCTTAGAAGATGAAGAAAAGTGGAATTGAGTAACAATATTGTAAATATTCTAATTCCCTGACAGCTTTAGCGACCATCTCCAGTTTTTTGAAGAAGTTTCCGTCAACCATAGATATCTCGTCGATAATTAAATGTTTACATTTCCTCCACTGGGCGCTGATACTTTTACGCTGAAACAGATTGTTCATATTTAAAGGGGTATACGCTGAAACCTATGATCGCGACCTTTATGAGTTCTATCTCAAGTCCCTGTCTCGAGAAATAGATATAAAACTGTGCCAACGATATACCAAAACTTATGTATATAAATCAAAGTTTCAAACAGATCACATTCCGCAAATACGCAACAAATCTAAAATTACGATAACCCAGAGCAGCCTAAACAGCTTAGGTACGCTCCTATCATAATTTGAATGATTTATTTTTTTTTTAAATATATATATACTTAATAATATGATAGTATGATAGTATCACATGACCAGAACTTCCACCAATGGCAGTGCATGTATCTGGTCACGTAATACAGACCAGATAGATGCAAGTTCTATTCATTTTACTACTCCTGCAGACCCCCTACCTATACTTAAACCAGTGAATTGTCCCTTTTAACAATTTAACCTTATTCTATGCATTTAACTACGCTTGCAGACCCCTACCAATACATAATCCCTTTTAACAATATTAACAGCTTAAAATATATAACTAACAACATATTACCAATATGAACTGTTTCTTTTAACAATTTCCCAACCTGTTCTTATTCTATGCATTTAACTACGCTTGCAGACCCCTACCAATACATAAATCAGTGAACTGTCCCTTTTAACAATATCTCAACCTATGCTAATTCTATGCATTTACTTACGCTTGTAGACCTCTACCAATACATAAATTAGTGAACTGTCCCTTTTAACAATATCTCAACCTGTGCTAATTCTATGCATTTAATTACGCTTGCAGACCCCTACCAATACATAAATCAGTGAACTGTCCCTTTTAACAATATCTCAACCTATGCTAATTCTATGCATTTAATTACGCTTGCAGACCCCTACCAATACATAAATCAGTGAACTGTCCCTTTTAACAATATCTCAACCTGTGCTAATTCTATGCATTTAGCTACTCCAGCAGACCCACTACCTATACCAGCAAAGGTATGGAGTGTAGTTCCACCAATTTGAAACGCTGCTACACCTAAAATAGAAATCTATTTATAAACGATAAGTACAAGAAAAAAGGGACTGTAAGCGTAATTTCAAGTGACCTTTCGTGCAAAGATGGCAATGCCCGATTTACAACGGTACCATTGAAAATCGTTAAATTCTTATAACTCTGATACTTCTATATGTTTTCCTGTAGCAGAAATGCACAAGTTACTTCTTTAGAGAACCCACAAATTAAAAAAACTAGTTTTGAAAATTACAAACTTTGATATCTAAAAAATACTTATTCATGCAAAGCAATCTTTTAGGGTAACGTTGTGAATCGGGCAATTTCATCTTTGCACGGACAATGTACAATGTACAATGTGCATTTAGAACAAGAACTAACCCTATTCACCTATTCACCCCCTCCTCTCAACATAAAATTCAATATCAATCACAATTTGATTAGAAAGTTATTATCTTACGGGTAGGACTGGTTAAAAAAAAATTTCGCATACATTTTCTCTCATGTTTAAAATTTGCCCTAGTGTAAGAAAAGCAAATGTCTAGAATAAAAAATATTGAAGAATGTGTAAGTTCTCAGACCCTGTGCCGGTGGCCATTTCCCTTTCCCTAGAATACAATACAACGGGGATCTGCGGAACCCATTAATAATAATAATAATAATAATTACCTGTACTGGCAGTGATGTACGTATGCTCTGGAGGCAGTACACCTGGAAGAAAATAAGAACTTCAATAATAAATCAAGGATTCAAATTTTTTAAATATTGAAATATCTTAGATGTATTTTATTTGCCCGGTCAAAATTCTAATTTACTAATCCCTATGCAACTTGATGTCGGAGACGTCTGATATTTCGTTTGATCGAGTAATCTAAATTTGTAATATCAAAGGATTATGCCCTCAGGCTGCAAAGATTCAAGGATTAGAAAATAGAGTTAGAGGAAAGTGATCAGCTCCTTTAAAGTAATCTTAGAACAAATTTTAGTCCAAAGATACAAAACCTTAGATACTACACATATCATTTTTGAGGCCCAAGACTTATTTCTTAGTCTATCCTTATGTAAAGGTAATTTGATTATTATTATACTATACTGTCATCGGATTTACAACGTCGTCATATTAGCAATAGTTCTTGATATTGTACAGCTGATCTATCTATCTATCTATTTCCCATGTAATAATAATTTTACCATATTCACGTTGGATTTACAACTAAATTAGCAATAATTCTTGATATATTGTACAGCTGATCTATCTATCTATCTATTTATCTATTTTCCCTGTAATAATAATTTTACCATATTCACGTTGGATTTACAACTAGATTAGCAATAATTCTTGATATATTGTACAGCTGATCTATCTATCTATCTATTTCCAGTGTAATAATAATTTTACCATATTCACATCGTATTTAAATAAATAAATAAAATGGTCAACCATCATTCCATGGGAGTCAGGGTTAAGCTCTCATCATCAAACCGTACCATCGTATTTACAACTTAGCAAAATTAGCAATAATTCGTGTAATTGTACAGCTGATCTATCTATCAACCTCAATGATTACCTATAATTTTGTTAATAAGAAAACTCTTCCCAGTTCCTGCACCACCAGTAAAGAAAATATTTTTGCCTCCCTGAATAATGAATTAATCAAAAAATAAGAATTTATTTTTAAAAATATTCAAAAAAAGATAATGTATACTTGTAGTCTGTAGAGTCTAGAGTGTAGAGGGTTACCACAAACATAATGTATACTTGTAGTCTGTAGAGTCTAGAGTGTAGAGGGTTACCACAAAGATAATGTATACTTGTAGTCTGTAGTCTAGAGTGTAGAGGGTTACCACAAAGAATAAAACTTTAATGTCAATTTGTTCCTTTTTTATCCACGATCGAAAAATTTAAATCAGTCTTTTATATTCATTAGCAATTTACAGCTTGTTAATATTTTTACAAATTGGACAAAATACTGTCTGCAGTTATCGTCTCTAAAATCTCAATTTCTTGGAATAACCCTATTTGAAATTAAAAAATATAAATAAACTCTAATCAAACAAAGTCTGTACCTTGACCATCTCCACCACATACTTCTGCTCTGAGGTCATAACCCTAGATTGGTCTTCCCTAAAAAAAAACAATTTTATAAAAATTTGATTTTTTTTTGTAAATAACATTTATTTTACCGTAGAGTTCTTCTCGCAAACGTCATTTGTCGCTTCGGTGTCGGTCCATCCGTTCCCCTCACCAACCCACCGCTTTTACCCAACATTGGACTACCGCCGTTCTCCTTCTCATCCAACCGTTTTCTCTTGATCATCTTCCCGCCGGTAAGCGGAGAGGCGGTTTTTGGCGTATAACCTCGGGACTTTAGGAGGCCATTCCCACCAGCCTCGGCTAGCTGGAGGTTACGCATATCCTTAGCGGTCACAGGGCTGATACCTAGATTAATAAAAAAAATACTTTTGCATAAAACAACAAAGATCGAGGGCACAGTGCACTAGATGGACTAAAACAAGATGATATAACACTAGTTTACAAAATGGACTGTCAAATGTCAATTTTAGGGGGAAATCGATGACTTAAAGGGACTGGAAGCATAATTTCAACTGGCACTCTATGAAAAAAGAACAATGCCCGAGTCCAAAGATCTCTGTCAAAATCTATCAAAAACCACTTGGATTCCTATAAACGCGGTTACGCTGTGTACAGCTGATGTCTTACTGAATATTTACATTAAAAACAATTTCCAAAAATTCGAATGAAAGAATTTATTTTCTTTCAATTCTAGAAAGTGAATCAGGCATTTGCATCTTTGCACAGAGGGTCACTTGAAATTACGCTTGCAGTCCCTTAAGATGTAGATAATGTAGATTTTATATACATGATATATCGAGAGAAAAATCTCTAGTTGAAAAAAATATATTTATTCCCCTACCTTCTACTGAGTTCCCCTTCTCTGAAATCAGCTTTGACCGGATGGAGACTTTAGCTTTATTCTTGAGCCCGGCCACCTTGGCCGCCATTGTCTTGACGAATATGACCAACTCATTGGGAGGAGCATTCGATAGAAGAAGCTTAGTTCTACTCTCCTAGAATACACAGGATTGTATAGGGTGAGATTAAAACGGCGCAACTAGGAGTTTTGTAATGGGGGGGGGGGGGTTAAAATTATAATCGGCTTCCTCAGGAACGCGTGCAAAGAACTTCTATTTTTAAGAAACACTAAAATAACAAAGTCAAAATACGAAGGTCTAATAATCAAAATAATCTCTAAATAATCAAAATAATCTCCAAATAATCAAAATAACCTCTAAATAATCAAAATAATCTCTAAATAATTAAAATAATCTCTAAATAATTTAATTTTTTTTTTACATGATCAAAATAACCTCTAAATAATCAAAATAATCTCTTAATAATTAAAATAATCTCTAAATAATTAAAATAACCTCTAAATAATCAAAATAATCAAAATAATCTCTAAATAATCAAAATAATCTCTAAATAAATGTAAAAAATACCTTAAAACTAATGGAAACCTTTCCTTCCTTGATAAATCTTCTGTGTATTTCTAGATCGGAATGCCGGAGAACAATATTCCTTAACAGGGAAAATTTATTTAAATATAGTTTGATAGTTGGGAGGTCTAATATCTATGTAATAAAGCTCTTCGCTCGTAATAATAATAATAATCTATGATTGTAGACTTGAGCTTCCTTCCGTTTAAGTTCAAATGAATCAACCCAGACAAAGAGCCGAGTGTAAATTCAGGGGTGGGAGACAGGCCTATGGCAGTTTGCCATTGACCAATCTATATACTCTCAGATACCTAATTATCCTGTGGGTAACACTAGTATGTTGAGTTGTTCGAGATGGCTTTTAGGATTGGAGGATGACAGCTCATATATATAAATAATTGTATATTTGTATCTGTAAGCTAATAGCTAAGCTATAACTAACCAAACGGTTGGACAAAATTGACTGAAATTTTAGACATTTTCCATGATACAAACTTTAGTAACAAAAAGAGAAGATCAAGCACTGATCTCGTTATAAAGTTTTCAGCTCTGGTAATTTAGATATAAAATCATCCAACCTATTTTTTTCAATATTTTTCTCCAGAACTGATACGCAGAGAACTATCTCGCTAAACTCATTTCGGTTTAAAGACAGCATTGCCTGAACAGGTGAAGTAATTATAGTAGTGCACAATACTATCAAAATGGATTAGTAACAATAATAATGAAAATAATGATGACAGTAAATAATAATAATAATGATGACTAAAACAATAACAATAACAACAAGAATAAAAATAACGTTAAAAATTATAATAAAAAACACAAACTTAAAAATATCAATTTAAGTTACGTGAAAATACCTGTTTATAAGAATCTTTTTTTACAACCTCGTTATTAGTACTGTACGCCTCTACTACTGCTGTACAACGGAGTACAGGCACCTGTACGGACATTTTACTTCTGAAATATGTACAATTATGTACAGTGTCAAACATGTACTAAACAAAGAGAGCTACTCGTTATATTTGGTCAAAAAAAATTTTTTATCAAAGAATCATTAAGTTTTATTTTTAAGAAGTCATAAATTAAACAAAACATAGTATTTCAATCAAACACAGTAAAGTAAACACCTACAGTACAGTATATTAAATGTAAAAGTACGTAACTAATGGTGTATGAGAAAGATGACATTACAGATAAATTCTGATTTTTAAGTTAAAATTATAAAAATTAGAATTATTCATTTTTTTAAATTCTTTTTTAAAATGAACAGACGCAAAACTAAGAAATGGATAAAATCCTTTTCTTTCTACAGTAAAAAAAGAATTAAAAAGTTAGAGTTTGTACCAAGTATTCAGTGTGTATGAATTAATACAGATGTAAACAGCTCGCCTAATTAAGTCGATCTATTGGAAAGAATAAAAAAATGATTTAGGTGTAAAATTTTACTTTATTATCCCGTAAAAATGGATTTAAGACCAGTAATATAAGTTCTTCACATGAAGTGTTACGTCACATATTTTACCAAACCTAGGTGGTGTTGATTGAAAAGAATAGCCTACTATTATAGATCAACCAGTATTGCTGGATTATTTTCTATAGGATTTTAAAGGAGGTATAAGAATATGACGTAGATTCGTTTTACAATTATTTTATATCTAATCATATCATTTTTGTTTTTTAACATTTATGAAATACCATCAAGTCACTTTTTTAAAGGGACTGTAAAGGAAAAATGAAAGGTGGTTTAGGATGAAACCTGAGAATCTCAGGCGTTTAACGATACATTAAGACATCTATCTGATGTTTCTGTCTCGAGAAATTGATATTAAACTGTGTCAAAGGAATTGAGTCTTTGATACAACCTCTGATTTGTTAATGGCCTATATCTTTGAAACCCAATATCGTAGATCTAAGATGTTTCAAACTATGAATTCTGTTAGATAAAATATTTTAAGTTTGAAATATCGAATATTTACACCATTAGGTAACAAAGTTAAAGTATTTAAAAAATTGGAGTTTGTGACAAAGACTCCATTCCTTTATACGAAAATTCATATACATATATGCAATTTTGTATAAAAGTTGTAGTAAGAAAAAGATCATATTCCACAAATACGAAACCAATCTGAAAACGACGATATCCCACAGAAACCTGAGAATCTCAGGTTTGCTCCTGTTATAATTATTTAATTTTCATTTTGCATTTATAATAGATTTAATTGATAAAATTATATTACATATAGTCCGTATGACGTCACCAGCCAATGGCAGAGCAGTATACTGGTCACGTGATTTCCGCCTGTATCACGTGACCAGTATACTGCACTGGCATTGGCGGGAGTTCTTGAGACGTAATACGGACTTATAAATAATATTATCAATTATATCTATTAAAATGCAAAAAAAATATAATGGGAGCAAGCCTGATATTCTCAGGTTTCTGTGGGATATGATCTGTTTAAACCTACTACTTTTATACAAAATTTCATATATATAGATTTTCGTATGATTTTGACAGAGTTTTATATCGATTTCTCGAGACAGGAACAACAGATAGATATCTGAAATGTTTCGTTCAAAGCCTGAGATTCTCAGGTTTCCCCTTTTATTTTTCCTTTAGAGTCCCTTGAAGAATAAAATAATTAAAACACTAAAATGTACACAATGAACTAAAATGAACACAAATACTTGTCAAAGAACTAGCCGAAAAAAGAATTAAAATTATTTTAGATGGGTTTTACAAATCCATCTTAAAACTAATTTTATCAAATACAAAAGATCAAAGCCAACTTTCTTATGTTTTACGTTTTTGACGTAAGACCAAAGAAATAAGCGTTAAACTGGCTGAAAGAAAAAGCATGGAAGATCATAAATTCACAATTAACAGATTCTAAAATCAGAAACTAGATTCTAGATTTGAAAAGGGGGAAAAAATCATTTCCTTTGTAGCCACGAACATTTGTACTAGACATAAAAAGTATAAAAAAAAACTGAAATATATTTAGTTACAAACGTTTGAGGGTTCTCTTTTTATCCTTCGTCATCAGTTTTCCCTTCTTTTCCTTCTTATCAGTCTCAGAGGAAGGTTCACTCAGGTCTCCTCGTTTCCTGGAGAAAAATATTGCTAAATCAGAACTCTTCTTGTCATCGGGAGAATGATCGCCCCATTATTATTAATTATAAAAAATAGTTGAATTGAGTTGATGACGACATTATTAATAACAACTCACTGTCAACTGACTATAATTGCATAGTTAAATGTCAAATAGACATTCGACGTCAATATTGATTTAAAGAGTTGCATGTTCGATTTTCAAAAGTACCCTTCGAAGCTATAATTGTTCTTCTACAAGAGGATTTGGATGGTCTAGCATGTATATCT